ATTCCCTGAAACAACAGCCCAAACTTACCTTTGCGGCATGTCTTTAGGAGCTTCGCAGTGACTTCGCGATCGGTTCGTGGGAACCTTTGATCAGCTTTCAACTGTGCGTCACTCTTAGTTAGGCAGTCTTGCGCCCACAAGTAAAGTTCATCACCTGGGCTCTTCTGAAGTCTACCTATGGCCATTAAAACCTGGTTTACATAACCTCTTGCTTGGCCCGCATCCTCGGGAGGGGCAGGAAATGTCAAATCCTTCAAGTCTTTGATGCGGACGACATCCTCCTCTTGGGATGCGAAACTTTTGGTCTGGTGTGCGCTGGCGGCGTCTGGGAGTGTGCCGTGAGCATCACCTACCGCACTGAAAGCAGCACTTGGCGCGCAAAATGCAGCGCCCCCCTGAGTTGCATCTCCACTGTTGGTGTCTAAACCCACTTCGTTCATTGAGAGACGGGGGCATGACAGTTCGTCGTGGGAACCACCGCAAACCCTACACTGGCCAGTGGGTTCGGGTTCATCGGCATCATCATCCTCGTTCTCGGAACTTGATGAGGACTCTGAGCTCGCGTCTGATGCAGCCTTAGGGGTGGTGTCGACCATTCCCGCACTAAAACTTAGGGGGATTATGGGAACCGGGTATGCCTTAGCAGCTGCCCTTGCGGCAGTTGGGGCAGGGCAGGGAGCTGAAGCCATTGGAGGAGGAGCCACGCTTTGTGCAGCGACCAAAGTGCTAAGCTGATGCACCATTGAGGCTAGGGAAGCAATTTGCGGCTTAACATCTGCTATCTCACTTCTCTCATCCTGACTACTGCTCTGCGCGCCAACGGCTGCGCCTTTGGCGGACACAGCACTGTTGCTTGCGGCACCTGCACCTACATCGAATGCGCCAGTAGGGGCTGCGCCCTTTGCGGACGTGGCACTTCCTTTGGCGATTGCTGCTTCGGCACATTGCTCTGAATCGGTAGGGGCAGAACCCTTTGCGAGTCCCGCACTTCCTGCGATGTCCTGTGTTGGGCCGGTAGGGGCAAGGCTCTTTGCGAGTCCCACACTTCCTGCGGCAACATCACGTGGGGTCGCAACATCCTGGAATGTGACATGCAGGTTGGCAGAGGAAGCACCGGGCTGGGCGCCCGAGTCAACACCAGTTGTATGATGAGGACCCACTTGAGGTGCGGCACTATCTAAACCCTGTTGTGAGGATCTATCAAGTCCACTCTGCTGGTTTGCTTGGTCTTGCAATCCACTGGATGAAGCCCCCGTTTGGTTACCCATTGACACATCCTGTCCACCCAAAATGGGGGAGCTCCGGTTATGCGACCCTTTGGGTTGAGGGGTATTAGAATCCGTACCATTATCGGTTTGTGCTTGCGGGGGACTTTGCGGCGAGCGAGTCGGAGGCTGACGGACTTCAAGCAAAAGGGAAACCGTCCTTTCAAGTTCGGCTAACCTAGACGCTTGTTGCAAATCCTTCTCTTGCAGAGCTAGAATGGTGGCATCACGTTCGGCTACGGCACGTTGTGCTTCCTGATAAAGGTATTGGGTCTGAGCTTGGGCCTGGGCCTGTTCAGCATTAGCTCTGTTGCGAACCTCTGCTGCGTACCTTTCAGCTAAAGCCCTAGTCTGACCTACCTCTTCATGGGCCTCGGAAACGACTGTTCGCGCCTGAAGCCTACTGTTGCCTGGTTGCCTCCTCTTGCTCCGCAGCGCCAATGGCTTGCTGCCTCGCATTGAGCTCGTGCTCACGTGCATAATTCACGGCCTGTTGAGCTTGGGTTACAAGGTTCATTGCCTGATGCCTAAACAACCCTTCCCTTTGTTGGGCGGCTTCCCGGAGTTCCCCCGCCTCCCTTCGGGCCTGCTCAGCCAGCAGTTGCTGTTGCTGTGCATGTTCAGCGGCCTGAAGCGCGACATCGGAAGCATGGTGGGCACGTTGAACGGCGGCACCCGCAACAAATGCAGCAGCTGGGAGGTTCTGGGTTGGATCGGGCGTTCCAGCCGGCTCTGATGAGGATGGTTCTGAAACGAACATGCGCCTAACAGGGGTTGCATCGGAATCTGGTGCAGGGCTATTAGGGTTATGCCTAACAACAGACATGGCTGGCACCATTGCACCCGCAAGGTCTGGGTCATCATAGTCTGTGCCATGTGAGGATCTAGACCTATCTTCGGATGGGGGTGTAATGCCAGAGGGATTCATGCCTGAGCCGCACGGATGCGATAGCTTTTCCTGCACACGCGAACCAAGTCAGTGCGCCAAAGGCAGCACTCTCCAAGGCCGGTGATTTGTGCCTGGTGGGATTATGAGATGTGCGCTTACGGCTACACTCAAAACAGATTATTGAAGGATGCAGCAACACACTCAGTCACACAAGGATTGATATGCCTCACTAATTGATAATGGGCAATCTCCTTTGAATTTAAACTTCTGATTGCAAATTGGATGCAAATGTGCAGGCTCACCAATGCAGTTGTGTGCAATTGGAAATGTGTGACTTCGTGCGTCTTTGCGCCACAGTTCTTCGGGGCGCCAACGGCTGCCCCCTGCACAGGTTGGGAAAAATATCCTAGGTGCGCCAACGGCTGCACCCCTGTCGCGAGCACCAGGTGATTTGCTACCTGCGGACCTCCTCAAGGAGCTCTGCGGCAGTAAGTGCACGGGCAGGCTGGATGGTCGCTCGGTCGGCTTGATCCAACCACTGCTCAATAGCAATCAACGCGTCCAGAGTCCCTTGCACCCCCTGGCTGGGGTACGCCCGGAAAGCGTGCGCGCCTGTAAGTCGCGCCTCACGACAGATTGTGGCGTTGTCGTCCACAAGGATGTGTGCTGCCCAACCGTGCAATAGGTTTGCTTTGCCAGCAACGCCAACCCTGGAATGCGTGAACTGCGTTGTACCCACGTAGATGCCCTTGTAAGCCAAGTGTACCCTTGCTGTGGCGATCTCCGGTGCCGTAGTTCGTTCGCGCTCGACCCCACAATAGCTGCAAATAATCCAATTGAACGGACCGTGAGCTGTCTGTAGACGAATCAATCCGTCCACGATCTGTGGGTGAAGCCTTCCCCCAGAGCGGATGTTCACGTCGAGCACCCCGTGCCAGTCCAGGACGATGTTGAGCGTCTTCCGGTCCGCAAGGGGTGTCCGAGGTGGGGGATCTGGGATCCCGTGGCTTTCTCGCCTTGGTGGAGGAGGCTTCGGTGGCTCTCGCTTTGGCGGTTGTCGCCAAGGTGGGTCTGGAGCGCCAAAGGCTGCTTCCTGCCCTTTTGGTGGCAACCTCAACGATGCCGGCGGCTGTTTGTACCTGATGCGTGGGCCAGGCCGGCTGTTTGCAGGGACAGAAGTCTTCTGGCGGTGCCGCTAAGCGTGGGGGCGAAGAAGATCTTGCTTTGCTCAAAACACGTCCGCGACTGCTTGCCAAAAATGCTGCAACTGTTCCCCGCGCCGCTGGCCGCGTCCCGCACTTTACTGTGGCTTTCGTAGCAGGGGCCGGAGGTGAGGCCGGCACTGTAGGTCTATGAAACGGTGCTTCGTATACCCCACCCGCCCGGAATGCTGCTCTGCCTGAAAGCAAATCTTCTGTGTTGTGCACTGTGTCCCCGTCGGAGTAGTCTGCAGGTGGTAGACCTCCGCGTTCCCGTAGTTTGGGGTCGAGGAACTAGACCTTTCCCCGTAGGCCTCGGGGCGGAGCCACACGTCCGTTGGCAGCTCGTGAGGATCACTGAACTGCGGTAGACGTGAGCGGGTTCGGCCTGCAAATGCCCGTGGAGCGCCGGAGGGCTGCTCCCTCTGCAGTGTCCACGTGCCGGTCCGGTCGATGCGGACCGTCGGATAGGCCGAGCTCCTTGGCGCCAGCACGATCGGCCTGTCGGTTGGCGAGGTCCTTGATGGCACACTCCTCGATCTGCCACGCGAGGATCGACTGGTCGTCGGGCGAGGAGTTCTGCGGGTTCCCGAAGGCTCCCGACTGCTCGACTTGCCTGCCGCGCCAGGGCTGCGGCCTCCTGGATCGGTGTCGGAGTTCTTGACCGAGAGCGAGACCTAAGCACGATGGGTACTTGGGAATAAACTGCTCGCAGAACTTGCCTTGACACTGACCGTGGGGAGGTCGTAGATGTCCTTCTCCTCGGAGCTGTACCAGTCACCGCGCCTTGGGCTGCGGTCCTCGCTGTAGGCAAAGCCGGAGCAGACAACCAAGCCTCAGCAGGTGAAGCCTGCTGGGCCACGGAAGGCTGCGCCGCCTGCTGCTGCTGAGGTGGTGTAGATGGAGTCGGAGACGAGGGAGTGGCAGGCACTGGATTTGCACCTGCCGCGCCAGTGGCTGCGGCCCTCCGTTCTTCTTCACGGATTGCCCGGATGCGAAGGGCCGTAGGCTGATGCCACCTGTGAAGCTCCTCCCAGCGCTGCTCGGCGACGTCCCGGTTCCAGGCCCGAAGGGCAGCAAGCTGCACCTCTGATTCCTGCTCCCACTGCAACTTGGGTGGTGTAAACCCAAAACGCTGCTGGACCTCGTCGATCACGTCCTCCTGGAGCTCCCACCACACTCGCTTCTTGTTTGCGGCTCCTCCACGGGTACCACGTTTGTGGTACTCTTCCTCGACGGCCACGCGCGCCCCCTTATGGGGGAACCGCTGAGGGAGGGCCTAGTTAATCCCGAAAGAAAGGCTATACGGCTGATAACCAATCAAAAGAACAAAAAAACCCAAACGCGCGCCGAAGGCTGCGCCCTGAACAAAAAGAGGTGGATTGACCAAGGTTAATCCCTCAGCGGTTCAGGGGGTTGTCTCTACACTCTAGTTCCGCGCTCAGCGCCCTTTTTCAGTGAGCGCTTGAGCCAAACGGCGTTTGCCGTTTGACAAGTCTGTCATGTCATGCAACCCTCAACCTAAACCAAAGTGGCCTCATGCAAACCTCACGCCAGTGAACACACAACTAGGCAAGTTACCATGCCTTTGGGGGCAAAGGGGTCGTTATTTCTTGACTTTCCTAGCTCAAAATGCCACCACGCTGCGCGAACTTCGGCTTGGCGACTCGAACTCCTGGTGACTCGGACATGTCACTGACTGCCCATTTATGAGTCCAGAATCAAATCATTGAACTTAGCAGCCATTGAATAAGCTAAATCCCTTAGTCGTCCAACGCCAGCACATTGCTCCCTCATTTGGCCAGTTTGTCTCCAGATACTATCTTCATACTGTCTTTAAATACTCGCCCAAGTACAACACAGCTCACGGTTGCTCCGAAGACCCTTTCACAAGGCTAGAAACAGGCCCGCCGAGGAAACCGAGAAAACTCCGAGCCAATAAAACCGAGGAAACCGAGAAAACTCCCTTGCGGTTTGCTCATTGTTGGGCTAGCAGCAACTCAGCTCCTTTGGAGCCGCAGCTTTTGAAATCACGGCCGCCGGTTCTTCCTCAGCTGTCGCAACGTTCTCAGTTGCCACGTGACCCAATAGTAAGGGATTGGAGCTCATATGGGGTGGACCCATTTTTTGGGTAGATCCCGATCCCACCAAACCAACAGGATTTAGGGGGCCCCAAATCCCGAATCCCCACTGGGCCTATGGGAACGCCAATCCTTCTGTGCGGTAACAAAGGAAAGCGAAAAGATGCCGCTGCCACCTGGGAACTTCTCCGGCCGGCGCCTTGGAATCCGCTGCTGAAGCTTCGCTTGCCGCCGCCGCGTCCGCTGCGCGTTTGTGTTTTCGACCTGCGAGGAAACTGAATGGAAGCTGGGGTTGGGCCTCAGCGCTACCCCGGAAGAAGGCATTTCATTGGTAAGTTGCTCGCATTCTGGCTCCTGGTCCGGACAACAAGATCTCAAGCCTGAAGAAGCGGCAAACAAAACACGTCCTGTGCCCTTGAAGTTTCTGGTGACGACCTCATGGAACCCCAACGCCAGCTTGCATTGAGCAGTGCCCACAGCGTGCGGACACATGCTTCAACTTGTTCAACTTGAGCGATTCATGCTTGTTACGTGGCATGCTTTTTGGATGGACTTTCATTAACTCCAGTTTCTGGTACACCAATTCCCATGCACGTTGGCTTCGCAGCCTGCCTTGGCGTGTCCAGCCCGGCCTGAGAGGACCGTCCCAAACTGCAGGGAAAACGAAAAGCCGGGGCTGCTGTTGGCTCTGGTTTTGGGCCAGATGCCCTGTCTACAGGTTATGTGGCTGTGCCAAAGGGGGTTGGGTGCACGTCTTTAAACTGCAATGCCTGCTGAAAGAGCAGGCATCTGTCAGTCAGTGTGTATATATATATATATATGTATATAGCCCATATATATAGTGTATTTGAGCAAACATGTGTGTACGAATGATTTTACATATGCATGTATGAATGTATGCATGTATGCATGCATGTATGTACGCACGCACGCATGATTCATGCATGTATGGGTGTATGGAGAATTACGCTGTGTTTGTATGCATGAATATATATATGTATATATATATACATGTATATATGTACGTACGCATGTACGTACGTACGTACGTACGTACGTATGTATGTATGTATGCATGTATGTATGTACTGTGTGCGTGTGCGTGTACTTATGCATGCAATCTCCAACAACCAAATACCTAGATATAAGCCTGACTAGCCACATGAACATGCACTGCACGCACATGTGTGTATATATATACATGTTACTGTGCTCATATAGTTCATCAATTACTGTATGTGTATACACATATATGTACATAATTGTGCATATGTGCATAACCCTCACGTGTATGTACGTATACATATATATATATATACACATGTATATACGACACACATTATATGATAGAACAATGTGTTTGTCAACATGTATGTGTATATATATATATATATAATGTGTGCACGTACGTGTATGTATTCATATTACAGAAACTACGTGTGCATGACATGCATATTGGCGTATTGCGCACATCCACACATGTATGATACTTGGATCCGTGCGCGACAGGTACATTTTGCTCTGCGGCCGCTACGCACCAAATCGTCACCAAAGTCAGACGTGCTTTGCAATTAGTCGCAAGCAACTGCAGTTCAACCAGCCATTATCACAAGGTCAAAATTACAAGCACATTAGAGCCCACGAGCCCACGGGTCAGAACGGGACGCACATTCCTACGCCATACTCCCCGTTTGGAAGTCGATGGCTTCGAATCCTTTCAGGGAAGCCTTCAACATGTGCCCCCCAAAGCCCCACAAGACAAGGAAACAGCGAAAGTCAGGGTTCCTCGCCAAGGAGCACGCGTGAAAAAGGCGCCTTTAGCAGGCGATGTCAAAACCACCCAAGGGAACACATTAATAAGGAGACCCGGAGTCGCAGCCACATCTTTGCCAGGGAACTCGCCGCCGGGGTCGGGCTCCTGCAAACGGGTGGGTGTGTCAAATATGAAAAGTAGGCCCCCCACCTCCCGCTTGGTTGACCTCTCTTCAGTTGTCCCGAGGGTCCAAACAAAATCTAACGATTGACTTGTGCTTAAGCATCTGCAATTTGCTCGATTCCTTGGAAGGACTAAAATCAACTAAATGGCTGGTAGCTCATTTGCTCACCTCTGACACCCGACCTATTGCAAAACAACGGCTCATGCTAGCCGCGCTGCAATCCCCGTTAAATTCCTGTGTTAGAACCCAGTCCAAACGGCTTTTAGGCACCCCCCCCAATGGTTGGCTTCATGTTGGTGGCGGTTCAATCCCTGAGCCATCTTCTTGTATTCCCTATATTATATAAACCCTCAAGCAGCAAGGCGTATTGACATTGAGCAGAAGTCTCCTTCACATTCAGGCTACCTTCAGAGCCCTTCAGACGAAGCCATGTTGGTGCTTTTAGTGGTCAAATATACACACCGTTTTCCCGCCCGGGTGTGTGGCTTGGTTTGCTCCTTGTCCTTCCGCTGGAGGATCCTGAAGCCTGGCTCGGACGACTCGGCCTGGCGTGTGGGGCGACGGGCTGAATTTCGACCCCTGGAATGGCTTCGGACTTCAATACGGAACCACCCAAATGTCCACCAAAGGGTCCCAATTCAAGGCGTGCCGGATGAATGATCAGAGCTCAAAATGAAGTCTGGCTAAGGGATATAGCACATGAGCCTGGGCGATGCCAAGTCATAGGAACCGTCTTAAGTGAGACAGCCCCCTAAGCGGGTGATTTTATACCGCTGGAGTCTTTCCGTGAGTGATGCAGGACTTCAACCCGGTCTCAATCAAGTAAGAGTAATCCTCAAACGGAACCATATGAGACAGCAAATGTCACAATCCGCATCCGAGAACATGGCCCCTGAAAATACCCTGTGCAAAACACGGCCCGCAGCTGAGACTCCCGTTTGAAGTGTGTTGCGCCTCCTCTCTAGGCATGAATAACTAGTCGCTTGTTCCCTTCCCATGACTTGTGAATTGCCACTAACACTGAAGGGGCCTTGCAAATCTGCAAAGTTCCTTTCGCGCCCGGGGACCGAAACAAGACATGTGGCTGCGCCTTTGCCTTCTCGTGGCCTTCATCCGTACCTACGCGCCGGGGACTCAGGTTGACTCACTACCTGAGTGGATGGCCCCAAAAAAGTCCAAACTTCATATTTTCCACTAAAATGGTCTTCCCAAAAAGTCTAAAGTTCATGAACTCAGGTTGACTATTCTTTAGAAAGCACTCCATCAAATAAAAAAGGAAAATGGTGCTATTCGAATAACTGGAAAGTGCAGGCAACTCAATCCCGCTCCCCAAATCTCCTTGTTTGGGTTTACTACACTTCATTTGTCACCAGCAAGACCCAACTGCAAACACAAACTGAGCTTTCAGTACCCCTTGGCTTTTTAGATGTGCAAGCTCGGCTGGATGGAAGCCAAAAGAAACCATGGAGACGCACAGTGCAGGACGCACAGGGTAACATTCTACCGTGTGTCCATTTCACTGTATTGCGGGGAACTGGAGGAATCACCGTTTAGAAACTAAAAGGATTCAATGGCTGGTTACCTGCTATAGGCTATAGAGGTAACTGGGATCCACTGGGCTGCCCTTATGCGGCAGATTTGGGTCAAATGAATGCGGCCCAAGCTCAAAGAATGTTACAGACTGCAAGTCCCCAACAAATGAATCTCAAGTTGGACTGACTCCTCCCAATCCCCAAACGACAAGAGTCTAATTGTGACCAGCGTTTCCCAAAACGTCGACATGCTGGACTTGCAGCAAACGCCTGAAATGATCCATTGCAAGGCCGGGATCTCGCATGCGAATGATCCCCTGCTCCAGTTGACATGCGAAGCGGACCCAAAGCTAGCGGCGCAGCCTGCAACTGTGACCGTCGTAGAGACTAAAGCCCATGACCTCCCCACAGCTGCCCTCAGATGGAATAATATCTGACCTCACTCACCACTCATGCTCACGTGGGGTGAGTGCTTGATCGCAAGGCCGGTCGATTTGTGGAAGGACCGGTAAACACCATACTACTCCCCCCGCTGGAACCCACATAAACTCCACCAGTGGTGCTAGTTGCCTGCTATCCCGGATGCCCAGTAATCCTGGTAGAAAAAGAAGAATTGGAACATGTTGGAACCCTTTTTGCGGTGCACCGGTGTGTGGCTCACACCAATCACAAAAAAGTCCGCTGATTCACTGTAATGATCTTCCTATCGGTAACAGCCGGTTGCCTCAGAAAAATAACCCTCCATCGATTGAGCACAGAACCTTCCTACTACTGAAATGTGGTCAGCGCAAGTGTCAGCGATGCCGGCCTGCCCGCTCCAGCGCCCGAGTCAAAGCGCGGGTGTCCCAGTAGTGGCCCAGCAAGGAGATGGCACCATGGATGCTGAGGCCTGGCAACGACAGGCGAATTAAACTTCGCGTTGATGAATCGGGAGGCTGCCCCTCTTCTTTGAAGAGCCCAGGCAATAAGCTCGGCCTATTGATACAAGTAATGGTTGATTGATACAGCTGGGTGAAAGCAAATGGCGCAATTACCCCTCTTGAGTTTAGACATCTTGGCTTGCCTACTCAAAGGGAATTATTTCAACTACTTTCATGCGGGCGTGCGGGAGGTGTCCCCCTCAAGAGATCACAGGTAGTACACCTCATGCCCATCTTAAACAAGGGGATGTATCATATTTTTGGAAGCCCCCATTACTCCAGCAGGTTGAATACTCCATGTCGACATTATCACGCCGCAACATATCCGGGGAACAACTAGACTTAGAGCCTCCATAGCCAGTAGATATCAGTTGATGCTCCCTCACTACGTTGGCTATGTGACCACCGCAACTGCCGACATCAGCCGGTCAAAAGGCGGGCTTGGACAACTGAGTTGAACACGCCTATTCGCAATCATGCTAGGTACTTTTTGCCGAGACACGGGGCATGCTCAGCTGCGCCCAGGTCCTCTTCGTGCTCTTTGCGAAGAGACCTTAGCCCAGCCGGGCATGCAAGCCATCAACCTTCACCAAACATGCCAGGCGAGGCGAGTTTCCTGTACAGCAAGCAAGGGAACCTCCCTCTCCAATTGCGCGACACTAAAATGGGCCAAACCTCCATAGGTCCTATTTCTCTTACTGCAAGACATGGTCATCGGACAAGGCAGGAACAGGTGTCAGGAAAAACCAATGCGGCAACAACACCACTTACATAATTTCTTGCGGTTGTCCGTATGTAACGTGAGCAAAGCACAAGTTTAACCCACCCTACAGGCGGCACAAACAGCTCCTTGTTGACACAGGCAGGGCAACTGCGTCAGCTTTTGCCACAGCCCATCTTCTAACATGCCCAAACAAATTGGTTGGATTGCACATACGGTGGTTCCAAGCAATATCCCGAAACCAACAGAAGCACGCGCCTCTGCTAAACCATTGAAGTCAAATTCGCCAACGCCAGGTCCGTGCATCACTTACGGCACCCCCCATTTGCAGGTTGGAAGGTTAATCCGATTGTAGATTTGCACTTATCACAAGCAGAAGCAACAGGTTGACATATTCCAATATGAAACCAACAATAATTGTGGTAGTTGTATCAAATGAACCGTGGCTTCCTCAGTTCTGTTACATGCCGGTGATGGCTCCAACAAATCCTTGCTGAAACGAATCGATAAAATGACGCCGATTGGGAGTACCGAAGGGGGACCCTCGAGTCGTAAAGAGTTTGGTCCGTGGAGAAACGCCCAGAACGCCCCAAGCTTGAATATTGGACTATTAACAGTTGCCAATCATGCGCATCAGCCTGGCTTGCAGGCATCCTCTGGATCAAACCTGATACACATTTAATTTGAATGTAGAAAGACAATTGACAAGCTCACCGTGTTGCTCCAAAGACCCTGGCACAAAAGCAAACTGGGGCCATTGTAAAGGGAATTCATCGCAACTCAACGCATGTTCCATCCTTGTGATTTGATCAGCCTTTGGGAACGGTTCGGAACAACCTTGCCTCACTTTGATCTCACTCCAACCCAAACGCGAACCCCTTGTGCCAAGTTGAAGCTTGAGAAGGCTAAAGTTTGACATGGGGTCCCCAAACTGGTGACCCTCCACCCCCAAAAAAGAACCCTGGGCTTCCTTTTGGTTTCCCTTTAACTCACTTCCTGAGTACTGATTGGCCAAAAAAGCCTAAACTTGTTGTTTACCACCAAACATATCCAAACCCAACAAGTTTCAAGTCCAGGAACTCAGGAAGTGAGTTCACCCAAGCCCCAGAAAAGGGCGTCGCCGCGCGCCTTGCAGCAGCTGCTGTCGGAAGTTTCTGGGAAAGTCCCTGCCGCCGCTCTGGTGTAGCAACAGGACCTGAAGCAAAGGACCCGGAAAGATGAGCTTCCAGAAAGGACTCGTGGACGCATACGGTGGGAGAGAGGGGTATGCTGTGGGCCCTAGTGTTTTTCGTATGAAATTGTTATTTTTGCAGAAAGCTTGGGTGCAAAAAACCCAGAGCACAGGACGTTGCAAATCCATTTCGCACTGTGAGGGAAACAAAGTGAGTCCCCCATGAATTCTGATTCTTGCACGCTTCGACCAACCCTCCATTTTCTTGAAGCAACGTCAGTTGCAAAACTAGTGCGAATGAACGAAATCCATTTCGCATCACAGAGGAGAAACCCTTGTTTCTGATGATGCCCTGCAAATACCAACAAACGGTATGTGTTCAGCAATGGTTTCATTTCGTGGTGCAGAATGGGTGTGTCTTAAAATAGGGTACTCAGAAAATGGTGGTGTCCCTTTGGTTTTCCCGTAAACTAAGCCCAACAACGGTACCCTCCAAAAACAAGGCCCACCCATATGTGGGTGTATATCTTAGACACAAAGACCCTGTGCGTGGGTATTGGGATTTTTTCCCACGAACCAACCACTTGTGAGGTTCCCACTTGTCCTGTGAAGATTTGTCGAGAACTTACACTAGCTTCCTTTGCCTTGAACCTGCTTGACCCAAAACTCGAAAGTGCTTCGCCTCCTGGTAAATATGTTATATACAAAGTATGTACACTCACGCACATGACAACACCTATAGATCAGTGAGCCGACAGTGTTAACAGTTAACTGACATTCTTGGGAGCCACTGAGGGGCTGCAGTGCACGTAGCACGTCTGTCAACCTTTGATGACTTGATCTTGCTTACTCATCCCAAAGCACAGCAAAACATCCCTGGTTACAAGAAGAACTAGAAGACATCTTCCCGAACGAAAGCACAATCACACAAACACTAACACACAGAAACACTAAAACACTAACACAACCAAAAACACCCAAAAACACCCAAACACACAGACACAGACACAGACACAAACACAGACACACACACACACTAACACTAACACTAACACTAACACTAACACTAACACTAACACCAGCACTAACACTAACACTAACACTAACACTAGCACTAACACTAACACTAACACTAACACACACACTAACACACACACACACACACACACACTAACACACACACACTAACACACACACACACACACACTAACACACACACACACACTAACACACACACACACACTAACACACAAACACACACACACACTAACACACACACACTAACACACACACACACACACATTGACACACTAACACACTAACACACTAACACACTAACACACTAACACGCTAATACACACACACACACACTAACACACACACACACACTAACACACACAGACTAAAACACACACATTAACACACTAACACACTAACACACGAACACACTAACACGCTAACACACACACACACACTAACACGCTAACACACACACACACACTAACACGCTAACACACACACATACACACACACACACACACTAACACACTAACACACACACACACACACACTAACACACTAACACACTAACACACTAGCGCACTAGCGCACTAACACACTAACATACTACCACACTAACACACTAACATACACACACACTCACACACTCACACACTCACACACGAACACACAAACACACAAACACACTAACATACTAACACACTTACACACACACACTAACACACACACACACACTAACACACACACACACACACACCACACCACACCACAGCACACCACACCACACCACACCACACCACACGACACCACACCACACCACACCACACCACACGACACCACACCACACCACACCACACCACACCACACCACACCACACCACACCACACCACACCACACATGCACACACACACACACACAAACGCAAGCAACTTCTGCATGCCCTTTCCCCTCGTCGAGGTGCCACATCCCGGAGACCCTTCCGGCTGCCAAGGTCGGCGTATGGCTCCAGTTGGGGCCCTGAGCGACGGCGAACTGTCGATGCGAGGGGAAGGGCTTGTGAGTGCTTGAGTTTACACACACTCCATGCTCTGCACTTAGTGCAAGAAAGCCACTGCATTAAATATATATATATATATATCAAGAAACAAAAAAAACGGAAGCTCATGTGTGCGTTGAAATCGCCAGTTGGCCCCATGGCTTGAGATACTACAGGACTCCTTTGAAAAGGGGGCAAACATCTCCAACCAGAGCATTCACCTTCACCTCCAAAGCTCCTCCCGCCATAAAATCGGCACTTGCAAGGGTTCGACCGGATGATTTCACTTCTGGAAGACTCTAGGGACCGCCTATATAGTGGTTGTGCCTTGCTTGAATGCAGGCTTGAAGGGAGTACAAAGCAAAGGCTCGCCTGCAGAGTAGCCTTGAAAAAGCTTTGTTCGGGAACTGCTCATCATTCCCCCCCCCTTTGCGGCTACTTTGAGCAATTTACTGAAAGGAACACAGCGCCCATCCGAGCAAAGGAGCCAAGAACAGGGCGCCAGCATTTCAGTATCTGACAAAGCCTGACCAGACCTGACACACATCTACACCAATCTGCCAATCATGGGTACCGGTTTCAAATGATTGCATAATGAACCTTGTGCCCAGCTAATAAGACATATACTACTTCTACTGGTTGCTCAACGTTGAGTCGCCACTGGGAAACTTATATAGTGAACATGTACCCCGACTTGACCTGAACCGGTCCAACTAGTCTGGGCCATTTTTTTGTACGTTTCCGTCTTCAGGACATGAACCTCTTGGCTCAGTTTACAAACCAAGACCCGGAGGCTGCGACGTCCGGGTTGCCCAGTGACTCTTGGCAGATCACCAAAAAGGACTTCGATCACGGGATCCACTAAACAGCTGGGTACTCGCAAATCACATCCTTTCCCAACAAGAGCTAGGTCCTCCAGTAGAGAGGGTAGAATAAGCGGACACATTTTTCTGTAGTCTATTTTAGTAGGGGAACCCTCCCCCCCAAAAAAAGGGTTCAAGGGCACTACTGGGGCACCTAGAGAACTACTCGAGGAAACCATGTCATGTGGTCATGTTAATTTGGGGAACCCTTAAGGGGACTCCGAACGGAGGATTCACTGAACAGAAGGTCTCCTGCCATGGGCCTAAAGTAGACCAAAACAGGAACCCTTTTGGTGGATCCCCCGTTCAGGGCTTCTTGAACCATCACTTTCGTTGGCGTTCCATGTGACTTTGCTGCTGCTCAGTAGTTGGAATGCCCGAGTTGCCAGGTTTTGGGCATGAAGCGCTTGGGGCGATTCCAACAACATGCTTGCAGAACCTGATTGAATGTGTTTCAACTTCCGGAGTTGCTGCCTTGTCACTGTTGGCAGAAATCTTTTTGGGGTTCCGTCTTTCTCTCCATTGCTCTGCTTTGCCTTGCTGTGCTGTTTCCAACTCGGACCTGGACGGGGCCGTTCCGAGGCAAGGCGGAAGCTCCAGCCCGCCTGCGCCGCCTACTTCCAGGTCCACCAGCGCTGTGCGCGCGGGGAGCAGCGGCTCGCCTGTGGACCAAAACCGATGGCTCCCCTTGGGGTCTTGAAACCATAGGTGTCCTTTTTTGAAAATGGATGGTCCGCGAGTTTCTCAAGAGTTTCGGCACCCCTTTTGCGTGCTTCTAGGGGCCAAAAGGAAGCCAGCCATACGGTGGATGGACGAAATCCATTTCGCACCACTTTGCAACCATGGTTAAAACAATTTTCTGTTGGTACTTGCAGGGGAATCGTATCATTCCAGGGTTTGTTAGGTGGTGCAAGATTTTGTCCATCCACAGTAGGTGTCCTTTTTGGAAAATAGTTGGCCCTGATAGATGATTGAACCACGAGGTTACGCAAAGGCCACCTATGCTTGAAACCAACACCTTAAAAGTATTATCCAAACAACTCTCAGCATCCAATGGATCAGCAGCGTTGGGTGATTTCAGCTGAAAGTTGGGATAAAGATCGGAGTAGTAGGCGTTGCCTTGGAAGCTTCGGGACGAAGTTATTGAGTTAAAGGTTTGAAAGGGCGCAAGGAGGCCTTTGGTTTCGTGGTTTTGAAGGGGACACTAAACATCAACGTAAAGCCAAATTGAAAGGCCACAAGCTCAAACTATTCCTAAGATAAGATGCGCCCTATTGCGCCCGAACAAGCCAGCGCGGTGGGAGGTTGCTAAGTGGATCTCAAAAGGTTTGGCAAATTAAGATTTCTCCTGCTCGAATTAGGTGCCATCGGAATAGGGGTCCCCCCAAAATGTTCGGCGTCCTTGTGGCTTCCTTCAAAATTCCCCAAGCAACGGTCCACCAATATGTACGTGTCAGAATGGGCGAGCTTGGACTGCCAAAATCGTGTTTTCCTGTTGTTTTCCCTTCACAACCTGCCATGTGCCTTTGCTTCTATCAAGGTGCTGCCCTTGGTCACATTGCCGGCGTCCCCCAAAGTCACGCAGCCCTCGTCCACGGAGAGGCTTGGGTCCGCCTCAGGCGTAATCGGTTTGGCGGGCGTCGTGAATTTTGGGCGGCTCCGTACTACGGTTGGTGCTAGCGTGGCAAAGCAACTGTAGTTTTCACAACCTCCTTTTAGTGGTCCTGTGTGCTTAAACCACTTCCTTTCACTTACCCTATCTTGCCCTTCAAAGAGGAACCTTCAAAGAGGACCAGGATTTGTTTCGAACAAAGCTTGCTCCACCCTGCTCCGTAACCACTTTGGGTTGGTTGGAAGGGAAACCAAAGCGAAACCGGCCGTGCGGGGAGAGTGCCTCATTTAGCTAGCAAACTGGAGAAGCACACCATTGAGCAGCCTGAAAGAAAGGTTCTTCTCAGTCTCGTGGTACCCCTGTAAGGCTCTTATCAAACAGTACCACTAGGGCTTTTCACCTGGTTGCAGCTGTTGCTCACCCGCAGTGGCCATGTTTGCTTCCGCGGGAAGGCTTAGGCATTGACGAGGCGGATCTGAAGACACCAACGGCCAACAAACAGATATCTTAAGCTGCCAGAGAACAACAGGCTAAATACAAACAAACCGCAACAAGAGTCTGTCAGAGAAGTTGAACCATCAAGTCACTAAGTCCAAGTCGGCATGGGCTTCGACCCTCCGGGCTGTCCGTTCGAATGCACCTCCCTGCTACTCCCTTCTTCGATCATGCCATATCGAACTAGCCATGGTCTCTCGGCTCCCCGGATTCCCATCTGACCCCATGGTCCCCGAATTCATTCAGCCCATCTGCTTGTTTGCCCAACGCACCCAGATGCACCCAGAATGTCAGGGTCAACCGTGTGCCAGGAACGCATAGGGCACTGTCACAGGTAGATGCCCCTTGTTGGAGCTAGTGTTGTCTATCCGGTCTGTTGTCTGTTTGAAAACCACCCTGTGGCTAGATATCAACTTCAGATTACTCCGAGCCGTACTCATTCGATATTCCACCAACCAAGCCGAAGGGGGAACATAGAGGGGTCACAATTAAACCAGCGACTGACTGCAGGCTGTTCTTCTCGTCCTTGCTTCCACTTACCAGGAAGCACCCCCCATTGGGTTGCCCCACGTTTTGCCCACCGCACTACATGGAACCCGAAGGTGTCGAATGGCAAAATCGGCCAACCTCCTCGACGAATCGGCGCGCGCATCGAGCCGGGCCTTCCAGTCGCCCAGCGCCACCCGCAGCGCGGAGATGAGGTTCCGCTCCGTGGGCGCGGCGCGGTGCTGAAGCTTCAGGCAGGTGACCAAGGAGGGCTTCACCGTGACCACCTGCAAAGGCGAATTAAGTCACCCCCCCCCCCCACCAAAAAAATGAGGGAAAGCAAACCCAAGAAACAAACATGGGAAATCAACCCCAAGAAAAAATGTGGGACATCACCCCTAGCATCTTTGCCCCCCCCCACAAAAAGAAACTAGATGGGAACACTCATGATACCCCATGCAAGCTCTGCTTTTCAAGCCCTGTCGTGGAACAAACACTCAAGACAAGTGACGGTGGCCGCTTGGGTTGAGACAAAACAAAGCTAGGGGGGGTTGGTCCCGAAAAGGTTCCCCCCCCCTTTGTTCCCCCTTTGTCAATGGTGCCAGCGGGCTCCGTGCCCGGCCTCTCCCCCGGGGTACACAAAGGACAGCGCATGGCAGCGATGCTCACCTGAACTTGGGTTGGCCAACACATGTTTGTGTTCATCACGACGGATGCCCTCCGAAAGGAAAATATTGCAAAACCAAACACACTCAAGCACTACCTCAAACGTTTTATGGGAGACTTACCCTTTATGTATTGCATATATTGGGTGTTTCTCCCATAAGCCCTGGGAGCACCAAAACTTTTGCAAGGACTCCCACGATTTTCCCTCTCAATAGTCCGAACCTTGGCGATTGCAATAGCGCTTTACATTCGTCAGATTGCTTTCATTCAGCCAGTGTTGGAGACGTTGTGTGGCACATTCTTATGGTGGTGCCCGTGGCCTAAGAGTTCATGCGTCGGCATCGTTTGCTCCTGCAGAGCTCAAGTGGTCAGTGGTGAACCGGTTTACTTGGAAGGTATCCGCATCCGCGTGAGGTTGCACATGCGCGTTGTGAGAACACTCCAGCTGCTTTGTGGTGAGTACGCTTCTGACTAGGAAAGATGGCTTGAAGTCAGTGCTCCGGCGGACGCAGTGGGCCTGAAATGGCTGGCAACGCGCAATAGGCCGAGCCTCCTATCTCAGTCGTTACACTTACAGCAGCTCTTGATCCAAACATGCTCAGGAGGGGAACATGCTGATGGTTCCGCGCAAACCGCGATCCTTGTCTCTCCCACCGCAAATAGAAGTGCCTCTGTGCGAGGACTACCCGGTACCCTTTTGAAATTATGTAAAAGAGTCGGTGGTGCGCTTCCATGTTGGTTGGTGGTGGTTAAACATTTGTAGCCGCACAGATCCACAATTTAATCAATTTGGACTGCCGCCCGGTAGCTTTTCGAGCACCAGAGCTGAGAGATGCAGCAGCGCGGGATCTCGTACTGGCCGTCCTTCTTTTTGTCATCCGCCACGGGATCTCTGGCCGACCCCCCCATCCTCGGGCACAAGTTTTCCCCAAGACCTGAGGTGTGTTCTTTGCGCGTCTCAGACTCTGGAACCCTCCACATGGAGGAAGCCAACCAGCCTAAGAGATGGAACCTGACGGGCGAGATCTCCCCAAAAGGGAACCCTCTGGGGGAATCCACAGACAAGTCCTTTTCGGGGTAGCCCCTTTGGGAAATCTTTGGGAGGAAGCCAACCAACTTGGGGACATCTTGCGACACGCAACCTGACTGGCACTTGCAGTACATGCTTAGATTTCTGCAACACAATCGAACCCTCTGAGCTGAAGTCTGCGGAAATCCACGCATGAGTCATAATCAAAACCCGGTACACAAATGGTGAACGCAGAACAATGTAAAGGATTAAGAAGGCGGCCGCACCTATTTTTGGTTGGGATCGTCCCTTACTAACCTTCACTTACCCGGGTTTTGATTGTGACTCACATGCAACCTGATCGGCACTTGCAGTACTTAGGTTTCTCCAGAAAAATCGAACCCTCTGGGCTTCAGCCTGAGGAAATCCACACCTGGGACCTTTCCTGAGCACTTGCTGCGGCCGAGGAGCGGCACGAAGACCCAGAAGAGCCCCGTAGGGGGTGGCCCCGGCGCAGGCGTCTCGAAGCGCTGCCGCGCGCACCGGGCCACCGCTGGACCCAGGCGGCCGTACCTGGGGCGGGGCTGGATGGGCTTCCTCGCGTTGGAAGAATTCAATCCCTGGTTGCCTTAATAATATGGCCATGGGTCAAAATCCAAATCGTACCTCCAGTGAACATCCCAATCCCCACTATAAAGACTAAAATGCGTGGAGCACCTACCTGCATTTTAGAGGGAGGAAACACCAGGAAACACCCCCAGTTTTTCTGCCAGGCTTGCCAACATGGCTAATCATCCATTTTTTTAAACGGAGGTATGCAATTCCTGGTTGCGTAGGAGTGTTTTGGAAAAGCTGTGCTTCACAAGTACCAGCGGCACAATGTACAGCGCAGAACAACAAAGTGCACTTCTGCGGCTCAAAAGGGTTACTTTTGTAATTTGAAACTTGACAGCGCGCGGATGTGCCATAGGGCCTGTTGCCGCCGCGCCCAAACCCCACTCGCTCCAAGATTGCCGTTGCGACAAGGTAGTGTGCACACGTGTCGCCACAGTTTCTGGTCGCGACTATCTCCCAGCTTTCGCGGATTGAACTTGTTCATAGCCTGTTTTCGTGTTCAACCATGGTCATCAAAGAAACACGGAAGTTCAGTACTGCGGAAGTTCCTTAAACTTTCTTCGAGGAGAAGGTCTACCTATGTGCGGGGGGGGGGGGGGGGACCTGACATTTCCTCTGATCATAGCACAGAGCTTTCTGGAAGAATGAAGGCACACGAGAAGAATCATATCTCAGCGAGCCGCTACGCAGTGTAGCCTCAGAAACAAAACTAGGTTGAGCAACATTCTTGGCTGCCCAAAGGCAAACATTCATGGCTGCTGCTGCTGCTGCTGCTCTTGGTAAACGTAGACAGGCAGAGCGTTGTGGGAAGCAGGCAGAAACTTCCCGGCGGACCAAAATCCGCGCTTGCATTTTGCCGCTATTCTGAAAACACTTGCGTTTCACCTCAGCGAAACGCACATTGAGTCCCCAAAAAACCTCCCAAAAAGAGGGCTCAGTTTCAGAGGCGTTTTGCGTTTCGCTGAGGCGAAACTCAAATTGTATCGCCCATTCCCTGCCTTCTCCTTTTTCACATATTTGCGATCGCTACGACAGTTTGCTGCTCCACATCTCGCTAGCGCAAGACATAGCGCCTCTGCCAAGACTTTACATACAAGAGGAGATGCGGGCTGCACGAAGGCAGCGAGTTCGGGACGCAGGGTTTGCAGCTTGACCAGGTAGAGTCTATCGTGCCACTGTGGCAGATGACCTGTTCGTGTCCGCAAAAAAACATCTTTGATCAGGCGTGCTTTAACAAAGCAGTCGAGCGGGCGCGCTTACCATGGTCAGGCGTGCGCAGCGTTATATTATAACGCAGCAGTCAAGCGGGTGTGCGTACCATTGTCAGGCGTGCGCGCAGTGTTTGAACGCAGAAGCCGGGCAGGCGCGCTTCCATGGTCAGGCGTGCGCGCAGAGTTAGAACGCAGCATTCGGGCGGGTGCGCTTACCATTGTTAGGCGTGCACGCAGTGTTACAACGCAGCAGTCGGGCAGGTGTGCATACCATGGTCAGGCGTGCGCGCAGTGTTAGAACGCAGCAGTCGGGCGGGTGCGCTTACCATTGTTAGGCGCGCACGCAGTGTTACAACGCAGCAGTCGGGCAGGTGTGCATACCATGGTCAGGCGTGCGCGCAGTGTTAGAACGCAGCAGTCGGGCGGGTGCGCTTATCATGCTCAGGCGTGCGCACAGTGTTATAACGCAGCAGTCGGGCGGGTGTGCTCGCCGTTGAGCGCGGTTTCTGGTCCGCTAGCAGAAACTTGAACTGCGTGCTTGGGACTCTGGTAGGATGATCATCCTCACCAGGTCCCACAAACACCCGTTTATGCTCGTGCAAACACGCATGTACTGATGCATGCATGCATGCATGAATGAATTAATGAATTAATGAATTAATGAATTAATGAAGGAATTAATGCATGAATAAATGAATAAATAAAGGAACTATCGAACCAATCAGCAAAACCATGAAACCAGTTTTGCAGGAGCCATTCCCTCTCCATTGCGATGCAACGAGTCTTGTCAACTAAACATTTGGATTGCATCCAAAATAGGCAAGTGCCTGAATGCTTCCCTTTGGCGGCGTGGCTGCCTTGGCAGGGCTCAAGAATGGCGCACACCGTAGCTCCCGTCCCAGTTCAAGGCACAAGTGGTGGCCGTGTAGTACGTCGATAATCTTGGAAGTGAACTCAGCCTGCTGGCCCAAGTTCGCCTTGCGGACCAGCACGAGGCGCCGAGGCGCCAAGGCGAAGCGACGATGTGGGCACAAAAAGGTTCATAAACTGCTTCAGCCCCCGAAACACACCACCGCCACCAATACTCCCCAACTTTTGGTCTGTGTTAGTCTTCCCCAAAGGGTGCATTTTTGGTGGTGGCGGCGCTGATGGTGGTGGTTGTGTTTGGGGTTCCCCAAAGGGATGCAAAACCAAGCATGTGGCAATAATTCGGCATATCCATTTCCTCGTAGTTTCATTTAAAGACCACTGCTTGTTTGCTTGGGTTACGTTTTTTTTGTTTGATCTACCTGCACTGCCGCTCCTTTCAATATGAGCACAGCTGGGCCTTGACCATTGACCACAAATCTGACCCTTTGCTTGCTTCATGGAAATTGAAGAACAACAACATCATCGATAACCTAACCACTTACTGAAGACCAGCTATATCATGATCCTTGCACCAGGTTCAACCATTTCAATCCAAGTCACCAGACAACTGCCAAGTACTCCCTGTTTTGCCGAAGTGCCAAACACGGAACATGAAGTTGAGAAAACGAGGCGTCCTCCGTGTTGCCCAGGTTGCACCACAAGGTGTCAGCTGAAGGCCATGAATAGAGTAGTATCCGTTGCTGAACAAGACAGTAGCGCAAACTCCGGGCAGAAGCCAATACTGAAATACCAAGCGTCTCGCAACCCATATTAGATCCAGGCAAGCTGGTCAGGTATGGTCGGTTAGAACATCAGCATCGCATGCGTTTTCCCAAACTCCTGTCACACAGCTGGGACCCTGGAAACGACGAATACACAGAGGGAATACCCTGTCTGGAGGCAATTTGAATATTTTATTTGACCAAGCTATACCTCAGCTCTGCCAACCAGAATTCACATTATGTTTGATTGTGGTCTGCAAATGTAAAACCCCGTAACTACGTACATACAGTGGATGGACGCAGTTGGGCTGGATGAAACTTGAGAACCCCTATGATTTGTGGGATAAACATCGGGTGATTCCATTACTAAGTGGGGCAGGATTCTGTCCATCCACAAGTACCTCCAATTCAGGGCTGTGGGAAATGACCACTTCTGTGATGCAACACAAAGGGCCTCCCAAAGCCTAGCCAACCATAAGAGAGGCGTATCTTGTATCACAGTACGGCTCATGGCCCGAAAAAATCAGATTGTTTGTTTGCCACTACTTTTTCAGGATTGCCAGTACTAAATTAAAACCCGTTCCCGCATGTTTGATCCGCACCCAAAGTTCATGCTCAATCCGTGCGCCGCCAGCCTCAACGCAGGGCACCTCGTGGTTGCGGCAGGCACGCTGCACAGCACCTCGGCGCCAGTTGTGCGACGGCAAAGGATGGGCGGGGACCCCAAAATGGCTGGTTTCCCTTTGGTTTCAAAGGGAACAAAAAAGGGGCACCATCCAAAACAGACAGACCCATACTTGGGGTCCAGTGTGAGATGAAATGTTCTGGTATTCTGGTAGGTGAAACCTGGAGAGCCACAAACTTGAACGAACCTAAACTTAAACCAGGGAACAAGTCGACTTCCACTATAAGTTCGAGGAAGACTAATGTTCATGGTCATGAAGAATTTCATTTACCATTTGCCTTGCACAAGTGGCGGCTACGTGCTTCCTTGGTCTCCCACAATGAACCATACGAGGCATGTCCGGTAACCGCAACAAAGATCGTAAGCACTTTAGCCATCTTCCTAGCTGCCTTCTTCACACACATTTAAGGAGAAACATCTCGCCTTGGTTTCACTACGATCTGGGTGAACATATTTCACCAACCTGAAATAAGGTGATGGGAATATTCCCCACATAAACCACCATGTGGGGTGAGGTCGCGTGAGGTCGTTATAATTCACCCAGTACGACGTAGGTCCTCTACTCGGGCATCGCTGCGCTGCTCGCTCCAACGAAGCCAAGGGGCGGGTCTCCTCTGGCGTCATGTCTTTGACGGCGCCCAGGAAGAAGAGGAGCGAGCGCTTGGAAGGTGCACCTCTCAGTTTCACCTTTTCCCTGTGGGGTTCCTTGCCCCCATGAAAACAAAGGTGCCCCCAATTTAGGTGATGACAAAACTTAGGCAACATGTCTGGTGGTTATCTGAACCCCCATTGTTTTAATGGTGGTTTGAACCCCAGGTATTTGACTTTAGTTGCTTGTTTGGCACCGTGTCATGAGCAAATGGCCGCCATGGATGGGTTGTACAGGAAACCAACATGAAAGCAAGCATCACTGCAAGCTAGACCCCATACTAGTCAAGCCCAGTTTGTTACAATAGGGGAGCTTAGTGGGGAATCATCACTTTTGGAAGGAACCACCACCCTATTAATTCACTGGAGTTTGTTAATATTGGGTCAACAGTAAGGAACATGGCAATGGTTCTGTTTGACTCATCTCGAATGCCTCCGGTCATCTGCTTCGTCCATCGAGGCCCATCTCAATCAAGATAAGGATCACGCGCAGATTGGGAAAATTGCGACCTTTTGGAACTAGGGCGAGCGCGTGTGCACAAAAACACGCGTCCAAAGCCGTCCCTTTGAAAGTCGTTTGGCCAGGTCTTGCTGTGCTTCAACGATGTGTCTCCTATCCTGCCGAAGTACTCTGATCACAGTGGATGCAGCATTGTTGAGTGTTGGTTAACAACAGTCGCGAAATCTTAGCACGCTAGTAGACTATTGGGTACCAGTGGGTCAACTTTCCACATGTCGGTTGTTTTCTGCCCTTGTAAATCGCAAACCAAACGGTTTGCAGTCTAAACCCACACATTTTGCACAGCACATCTGGAATCCGTGGAAGCCCTGCCTGTATCAAGCCCGTCGTAGAGTCCCAGGCTCTGTGGGTAAGCCTGCCAAGCTCACAAATCCCGGCAGGGTGTCCGGTTCCTCGCAATGTTATGTTTAGAGACTTTGGCCCCTACATGACCCTTGAAGAATCAAAAGGCTGAGCTGTACCTTTCAAACAGCACCAAACGGAAGGGACACCAATGGACACTAACCGCAACAAGCAATATTCCTTAAATATTCCAACACGGGCAATACACTTAGCCCTGAAAAATGCCGGTCTGCCTGTTGAAAGGGTGCTAGCCCCTTCAGACCCAATGCAAGGAAAGGGGGCGAGCACGATCAGTCTGGCTGGTGAGGGTAGTGTGAGGGGGCGATGGGGACGCATGAAACAACTTGCCATGGCTGACCTTGACTGACTGCTCGGCTAATCTTAACTAACTTGTCCGCAAAAAGCCGAACTATCCCTATCGGCTAACCAGCCACAAGCATAGAAAAGTGTGCTGCAATGACCTCACACACACAAATGAGCTATCCCCATGTGGAAGCACTGGCACAAGCTATCATGAGTCACTGCAGGCAGGATAGTGTGCGATTTGACAGGGTTGGCATACTTGGCTCAGGAACTCATCAACAAAGAACCCGTTGCTGATGCCACAGCACTTGCTTCTCGGGGTCTCGCAGGGCTTTTCGGGGCCCAAGTCGGATCATTCAGCGCTCTCCGGGCACAGCCTCGTGCAGCAGAACCACATTGCATCCAGTCCGAGCATACTTGGCCACCTCAGGTATGTTCAGTTTAGTGGGGCAAAACTGATCTCCCAAGTGCGAAGTGGAGCCAACCACGTGATTTCGTGTGTTGATACTGATCCAGGGAATGGCACTTTACTTCACTCCCTTCACTGACCTGAAACACAGAATAGAAGATGAGATTGAGACTGATGGTGGGCGAGCTCATTTTACCTTCCCCCCTGCTTGTTTGCTTGCAATGATCAATTCCAACAGATCCAAATCGATTGCGCAGGAGGCAGTTGGGTTGAACTATATATCCGTTTGGGGCTGTCAACCAATCCAAAGGAGTCCAGACAAGATGGCATGAGGCTTCATTGTGCAGCGTCCCCAAACATAGTTCTTCAAATTCTCGGATCAAGGCACTGGTTCATTCCCTCCCTTTGTCGAACTTTATCAGTCAGGCCTGCTTTGCAAGACGCCCAAGTTCACATGGCATCCGTGGGTACCACCAAAAGCAAGACCCAAGATCTCCTTTGACTGGTATGAGACCCTTTGTCACGTGCCAAAAGCAGCTACGAAGGTGGCGAATGCTTTCGCCCATGGCAAACGATATTTTGCAAAATAAGGGAGCCAACTGCAAACATCACCTTGGACTTCATGGACCGCAATCTTGTGTAGAATCATCGTGCCAACAAGTGGCCATAATTATGTCGGCAACAACCATGGCGTATCCGTTGACAGCAGAAAGGAACATCGACAGATGACACTCATTGGTTGGAACTTGGCTCGTTTTCGTCCACGAGCAAAATAGAACGAATGGGGTTCCCTGAGGCCAGGTGATTGATGAGTACCCCCAAAGCCAAAGAAGGATGGCAGCCAATGGAGCCCACCTCCGGCTCCCTATAACAAGCGAGGGTCGAAGAAGTTCTTGGAGACTGGATCCGGATAAGATGGTCCGCGAGTTTCTCGAAAGTTTCCCCCTTTTGGTTGCTTCTAGGGGCCAAAAGGAAGCCAACCATACTGTGGATGAACGAAACCCTGCTCCACTCTGAAACCATGGTTGAAGCCATGGTTTGTTGGTATATTCCAAGGTTTCTTAGGTGGTGCGAAACGGATTTCGCCCATCAGTAGGGTTCCCCGTTGCAAGAGCTAAGCTTCCGGCCGTGTCGTCGATGTGGCCCCCAAGGAACCTCTCGCGGTCCGGTGGTGAAATCCGAAGACCTGGCAAACGACTTGGGTTCCGGAATCCAAGAGGATCTCCACCCCTCAAAAACGTGAGGAAATATGGATGACCTTGAACTTTTTGTGTGGTGCTTGTGCAGGGATGGTCTTCTAACGCTTTTCCTGGCCCCAATGGTCCAAGTACCTTTCAAGGTGCGACGCTTTTGGGCGACCCAGGCGTGTCTTTGTTGAGGGCAAGAAAAACCACCGGGGCCAAAGCCCATTTTGAGGTCCCCTCAGAGAGAAATCCATCCTGGGTTCAATCGGATTGTCTGGAACAACTTTAAAAATACCGTGTTCCCTTTAGCTGGCCTTTGTTGACATTCGGAAATCCTACCCTCTTCTGGCTTCCGTCTGCAGAAAAGAAAGCGACAAGCCGAAGCATCCTGGGACCCTTGGACAGGTCAGGATCTCCAGTCGAAGGTTTCGAACCTCCGTTAGGTCCCAAGATTGCGGACGGGCAATGTGCCCTCCCCACAGCAGATGCGACCTGGAAGATTCATAGGGCTGTCAGGTGCCATGGGAGGGCCATCCAACTCGCGTCGCCTGGAAGCGCGGAGCCCTCCAAGGCCCTTTGCAGCACCATGATGAGGTGGTACCTCACGCCACGAGTCAGTGACCGGTGACACCCTCACTTTCCGGAGTTGGTGGACCAACATAAGCCCAAGCTTTTCGTATGCCACTGAAATGGTCCAAACCCAAAAAGTCTAAAGTCCATAGAAACAGGAAGTGAGCCCTGGTAGGGGACCCTTTCGTGGTGTTGTGTTGTTGGTGCACACCAAAAAGGGAAATCGGTGCCACCCAACTGGAAAGGGTGCTGAGAGTCAGGGCTCCCCAATGCTTGTTTCCAACATCACCCAACGTACTGGAAACTCACAAATCAAACTGGCAACAGGTGATGTGGTCAAACCACAGAGGAAAACCTAGGAAATCCTTAGAGTGCCTTCGAACTACCCCTTGCGCGAGAGGCCGCAACAGTCTCACTGAGGTCATACCCCTCGCCCTGGTCACCCCCCCGCTCTATAATGGCTTACACCATATTTGCACGGGAAATGAGTTTTGCAAGCAGTTTGGGGTCATTGACCAAACGGGAATGTCAAAGGGGTACCCTGCGGGCCCGGAAAACAAAAAAAACACACACACACACACACACTAAAAGGCACAGGTTTGCGCAGTTTCGTGATGAGTGGGTACTATTTTGCAAACTAACCAATTAATCGCCTGAGGGGAAGACCACCAGCGTGTAAGAGCAAATGGGAGCCACGCCCCCCCTTCCCCCCGGGCAGGGGCCAGCAAAGACGTGAAACGCATGGCTGTTTGCCAATGCGGTTCCCGTATAAATCGCCCCCAAAAGAGTTTGACCCACCCTGAGGGTCCTAATTATGAAAGACCCAGAACTCTCCATGCACCCGTTTGTTGCTATTGAGGCAACATAGGCAACACAAATCCAGGAATCGAACTAGGGCAGCTACAGCTAAGCCCGGGACTCCGAGGGAACTGGACAGCTGGCAACGACGCGGCCCGATATGTGCAGTGCCCGGTAGTCCTCGAAGATGAACCTCAGGAGCCGGAGCTTTACTTTGGGAGGGCTCGAGGCCTTTCCTTGTTTCATGCGGTCCAAATCGTTCCTCCTTTGCTTTTTATGTATTTTGGGGAGGGGGAGGGGATAAAACGTTACCTTTTTGCCATGTCAATATGTTTTTTTCTTGGCAGAGTGATGATCGAAGGGGACATGTGCCGGGAATTGTCATAATCCTCTCCCAACCTAGGACCGGAAAGGAAGATTCAGCTCCAGCCGCTAAAACAAAAAGGCAACAACATGTCTTCAAGCATTGCGGAATGGAAAGGCCTGAAGACGTTTTGGGGGAGATGCTGAATTCGACTGGCCACCATGCGCCACTGCCAATACAGACTTCAGGCTGCAATTCCCGACCCAAGATAAATCAGCGGGTGGCTGAAATGTGTCGGAACCACAACACCTGCCAGCAGGAAGGTGCTCGGCATGCATCACACATACGACGGAAGGCATGGAAAGTGACAACCAATCACGGGATGTGGCTCCAGCACGCTGTGGGGCTGTGGACCCACGACCAAGATAGACGTACTTCAGTTGGTCCATCCACAGAAAAGCATGAAAAGCAGGGCCTCAGCCTTTAACATGCCTGGCATAGTGACATTCAGTGGTTCGAGTTTGTGTCTTGACGGTTCATGATTCAGGACAAGAGCCCCAGCAATGGATGATGAAACTTGAGATCAGCCACCACCGTTCCAAACAGGGTGGGACTGATCGGGATTGAATGGGGGCAGCTGAGGGGAGCCAGCGGCCCCCGCCCTGCTTCCCCGTGCTTCCTGCATGTTTGCTTGGCACAGTGGCCACGATGTGGGGCGGACATCGTGTGCGACAACAGGGTCTGGCTGCAGTCCGGCTAAGTGTTATGAGTGTAAACCAAACAAAACACAACCTGAAATCAGTTGCGGGTGACAACGAGTAACCACAGCACATGTCAGCCGATGGTGAAGGCAGTGCTGGGCAGTCTATGCCGTCCCTCGTGCCTAGCTTCGCCAGCCACGGGCTTAAGAGGCCCAATACAAACCTGGGGCGAGGATATAGCATTTCAACACAAAGATGCTTGAATCCAAGCAAATAGAGAAGACTTGAGCGAGGCGGGAACGAAAGCAGCGTCAGGCATGATCAGCTCAGCACGAAAACAGCATCTTGGGCAGTGCCGAATTCGCGTGCTCTTGACCGGCGCCGGGCTTGGCAAAGGGACAGCTTGGTTCGGCAGGCTCTGCATCTGTGATGAAAAAGCACAAATGGTGCGGAATGGGCAAGCTCTTGACTGGCAGCATCGGCAGTAAGGGGGCACCTCCTTGCCTGGGGGAATCGCAGCAAAGTACAGGGCCCCCCTTCACCCGCCTGCACCCAAAATGCGACTTGGGGCCCGCTACGCTAGAAGGAGAGCGCAGCATGGGAAGCCACGAGCCGGCAAGAAACAAACCGCCCAGACCCCCTCCCCCGGCGACATCGCGTCTACGGCGGTGCTTGCAGAGCGGGCAAGCTGTTGGCCAGCGGCAGGGGGAATCGAGCCTACGACCTCGCCTGGAAAAATGCAAAAAAGTTGCTGGTGGGACCACCTCGGAATCCCTTATACAAATGGTGTTTCCGGTCAAAAACTGGCTCAATTTGGCCCCAGGTTTTTTGGCCCACCCCCACACCCCAGGATTGCTAAGCATAGCTTAGGTACAACAACTCCAGCAGTTGCTTTCGTGATCTAGTCACATGCATGCGCCATTCTATCAGACACACTTGGGGCTTCTTGGGGCGCTCGCGAAGTGCCGACAAGCAACACAATCTCGTGCACGTCGTCCCAGGGAAGTCCGCGCCCCCGCCACAAGGCGGCAGTCGCGATGCGCGCCTCAGCCCGAGACTCTGAGACTCGAATCGTGAAGTCTCTGGGAGAGACTGCTCAGAGGGGTGCCCAAAAAGCAAGTCACAAGGGTAGAAATCTGGCTCGTGAAACCAGAAAAGCAAAACAACCCAATAGCATCCAAGAGCAATATTCTACCCTTGTGGGCCAACTTGAGGGTTGGTCATTAGACAGGCTCGGAGCAACCGGCCCAACACCCCTGGCTTGCTCCTGTTGCAAAAAGGGATTCGAGCCGTCTAAAGACAGAGCGTCCAGAATCGGGGGGTCCTTGGCCACCCAAATGGATGGATGTCATGATTGTGGACCTATTTCTAGTTGATTCCCCATTCTTTCCAACCATCGTTCTCTTCGAAAACCGGCCGTTTCCATGGGTTTCCGGAGGCTTTCTAGAAAGAAGGATCCCTGGAAAGAATGGGGAAGGTAGCACTAGACTATTTCGAACACCCACCTTAATCAAAAAGGCGAGCCAAAAGGACACTTGGATCCCAACACATCCCCGGATTTTGACAAGCTCCCCAATCAAACAACCTGCATGAAGTTGGCTAGCTCGTGGGGTATGACGCTGGCTGAAAGATAAAACGATGTGGCACGTGCAAGTCCAGCACAGCCCAAACAAATTTGATGCCACCAGCATACATCATTGTACAACAAAAAGCCTTCATGGGAAAACACTCCATTGAAATCATTAAACATACATACATATATATATATATATATATATATGTATATATCTAAATAATTTTACATGGGCCACTGTTATGGGCCATTATTTTTGTGGTTTGCTGGCGAGAGAGACGATAGTTCCAACGAACGCAAATCTGCAAGTTTGATTTCAGCAAAAGGGCAACCAAGGACCCAAACATCTGAGTTCCCAAAATAGGGGCCCATTCAGGAAACTGTCTGTGCCAGTGGGTTTCCTGAATGGGCCCCTATTTTTGGGACCGGGGTTTGGGGGCTTGGCACGAAGAGTCCCAATGGAGCTGGAACCTTTCAAGATTGCTGTCGTCAAAGATTGCTACTCCAGAGGCAGCAGCTGAGAAACGCACACATCCAGCCACCTGGTCCTTGTGCTACGTACCCAATACATAAGGGGTATATATAGTGTATGTATTTTTCAGCCATTAGCGGCCCATAACAAGGGCCCAAGTAAAAAACTTTAGAATATATATATATATATATATGTATTGTGTGCATATATATATATATATGCCTGTAGTTTCTGGTCACCTGGGACGCAACACATCCGTTCCCTCTGCACACGGCCCTCCAACGGCCCTCCTTAGGGCCCCCGCCAAGGCGTCGCGCCGCGCCACATGGGTGGCCGTGGGCTTGAAGGATTCCGCCGTAAGCTCGCCTCCGAAAAGGAGAAGGAGATAGTGATCTACAATCCACCCCTAAGCTATATCTTAATATATCTTGGGGTGACAATAAGATATATCCATTGTTGTACCTGGAGTCTCCACCCTGCAAAAAAAATGGGTCACGTCATGGACCCCTCTATTTTGAGTTAGGGATGGCCGTTCAAGGGTCATGGAGACTCCACGCACCTATCTGAAAAGACTTGAAAAAATGTCCGAAACCTGAAGTAAGGAATCTGCAAGTAAAGCGGTCAGTACTAGGGTGAGCTCGTTTTTTACCCGGCGAGCTGCGCCATGACTTAGGCAGATCTACGTTTGGTGATCCTCCCAAACAAAGATCGGTGCTGGCGCCTGTGCGTCATTTGGCCTTCTCCGGGACTCACACCACAAGGAAAACCACTATCTGGCAAAAGGATTCAGCATTGATTTCGAACAACCCAGGCAAATGGGAGCAAACAACCTTTACCAACAGATCTAGGGATTCGAATCCTGCAATGAAGCAGAGACCCTTCCTGCCCTTATCACTTGGTGTGGGTTCACTGCCGACGTCGGCTCACACAGCACTGCTGAGTGGCCCAGGTTGTGAGTTCCCAAAAGTGAACACCTGCAAAGGTGGCGCCAAAGAACAACTTCCGGCAGTGCCGTCTGCAGAGTTCCAGGCGACTTCTTGATTCCGCGCCCATACTAGAAGCACCAAAAACCGCCTTGAGCTGAAATATGGCTTGATTGGGTAACCGGGTAACCCCCCTCTCTTGGACCTAACCCCACGCCAAGCTCCTTCCGCGCCTGGCGCCGTGAGCACGAAGACCAGCTTCCCCGGCCCCGAAGGCTGCGGCCCCGAAGGCTGCGGCGCCGGCGTCGGCCGGGGCGCGGCCGCGCCTCGCTGCTGGCCTGGCACCAGACACAGGGAACTTCACCCGCCTGCAAGCTGGCGAGGATAAAATTTGGCCAAACCACTGCGCTGTTGGTATTGAAACACAAAACGAAATGAAGTTTCAGCCTGATTGGCTAGAGCAAACCACAATCAAGCCGGTGTGCTTGCTGCCGATAGGAACCATGGTTCCGCTGAGAAAGCTGGACCTGCTCATGTCATGTTTGAAACGACATGCGCCAAAAGCAGGGGCTCCAATTCAAGCCGCGTCTAAATGATGGGTTTCGCTTTGGGTTTTGAGGCACCTGAGTGGCCGTAAGCATTGAACCACGCCTCGAGGAGGTTGGACAGTAGGTGGCCCCACCAGCGCCGCCCACGACTTGGTGGTGCACAGCTTTTGAAGCTCCTGGGAGCATTGGACCCATGGTCACCAATGCTACTGTGCCTTGCAACCAAGCCCGGTTGTAGCAATATATGCTCATATATATATATATACATGACATATATATATATATATATATTATAGTACGCAAGTAAGCCATGTTGTTTACAAACAAATATTCAATTGTTTGCTGCATTGTTCACCATAACCAAAATAACGTGTACCAACAGGTTGAAATCCATTCCCCACTGCGGCCATGCGTCGAATAGTAGTACCCTCCAAATGTCTACATGGATGGCGTCCTAGTCACTTTTTACCACCAGCTCAAAAAGGGTCCCGAAAATTTTGGTCCGCATCGTTTAGGTGGGGATTGATTTCTGGATGCGCTCGCAGGCTCCTGCTCTTCCTGCTTCAGCCTCTGCGCGAGCTCAAAGTTCTCGTCTTCCACAGCCTTCCTCGTCCGGGCCGGCAGGAACCCTACAACACCCCATCATTGCGGAAGCTTGGCGGGGGTATACAGGGTCCCTGGGAAGTGGGCCCCTGGGGGACGTCTTATACCGCCTTCAAAGTTGGTCTAAGGGGATACATGGGTGGATGGATGCACGGCACGCATGGTACCTTGAGTCGCGTTACCATGTCCGATGGTCATCTAGTTGTGCAGTTCATGGATTTGTTTGCTGTCAGGCAGTCAGGCAGCGAGTCAGAATTTCCGTGAGTCACTGTGTCAGTGAGACAGCCAGTCAGTCAGTCAGTCAGTCAGTCAGTGTGTCAGCCTCTGGGACCACCAGCCAGGCAGGGGTGCAGCTGGAAAGCAAGGCACCAGCTGGCAATGACGCACTTGATGGCTCACGACAGAAGAATTGACTCAATCTATAGCTAGCTGCTGTACTGAAGGCAGCAGCCTCAACAATATTTACATGGCCATGTGGGTATGCGTCACAACAGAGAGACCCAACAAAACATCGCGGTTGTCTTTTTAGTGTCCCCTTGAAGCAAGCCAAAGGAGTACCCTGACAAAAATAAACACGGAGGAAGAAGTCTATCCATTCGAGTAGATCCTGGCTTCATCCGTTCGAGCAAGGCAACTGAGCGAGGTAACACACAGACACACACACACACACAGACAAGCACACGCACACGCACACGCACACACACATACACATACACATACACATACCACACACGCTAGGCCCAGCATAGCGACTTCGGTTCTGCACGCCAGGCCGCAGCTTGGACTCTGCGATGGCCTGCAGCTCCAGATACAGCTCGTGCTGAGGCACCGCACCTTGCGAGCGAGGCGCGGAGGCGAAGCACTCGACTCTGTTGGGTGAGCTTTTTGGGGAGGCAAGTTTCTGGCTGGTTTGGGAAGCCAACTTTAAAAAAAGGGACAAAAAGAAAAACATTTTGGGGGACCCCGTATTTGACCGCCTTTTGGATTGCACCAGTTGGTTGCGGCACGAGATGTACCCTCCCACAAATTAACATGGAACCTGACAGGGGCTCCCTTTAGCAGGAAAATGGTCTTCCAGGACCCCCCTGTCAGGCTCCATGTTGCATCGCTGTGAATCATCACTTTGCACCCCTGGCTGTGTTCAGTTTTTACGGGTGAAGCATTGGGACCAAATTGGCAGCACCGGTTAACTTGCTCAGCCAGGACGACCTCTGGCATCAACTTGGATGTGGCATGCACACATGTCGCAAGCTGCAGCGATCATTGGCTGACAGTAGCCATGATCCCTCTATGTCTCTTTGACCAAGCTTCATAACAAAATGAGTCTCCGCTTGAGGATGCAAGGCTGGTGGGCACTACTTAAGTTATTGCAATAAAGATGCCAAACAAGTTTCAAGTGGCGACAGGACAAGTGTCTGCCCGGAATTTCGGACCATTCCAAGCCTGGCCGGTAGGATGACTTCCTGTTCTTAGGGAATGCGGAAATAACTTCATTTCTTCAGGCAAGAACCGCACGGATCTTCATGTGCGAGTTCATGTTAGCTGTGTTGTCGCCATTTATCCAAAACCTGCCTCTGCACCCCCAACTCCATTTTTAAGGGGATGGGATGCTTCTGATCTTCCTGGACTCAAGGCAGGGCGGATCCATTTGAAACAGAAGCGAACTCAAGGGCCCGGACATGCTCAAGCTAAGATCCACGCCTCGCTCCTTTCCATCCTTCGACTTTTGGCCCGACGGCGCCTGACAGTCCAAAGTCAGTCGGGCTTTGCATCAGGTGTCAGAGTGGTGCTCCTCCAGGAAATCAAAGCATCATAAGCCTCAAAAGGGGGGGCTACTTTCGGGCATTCAACAAAGGCCTCTCACCTCCCAAACAGCAAGGGGTTTTGTAGTCGGGGCCCTCCCCATTTTTCGGCGGCTCTTGATCCCCGCGACTTTGATGCATTCCTTGGAGCATACATTCCACAAAAACGCCGTGGCTCTCAAAGAAAAGCCGAGGTTGTACTCATTCTACATGTGCTCTTTTCTTCTTGGGTGAATACTGAACACGGGTGAAAATGATCACAGCGTAAACCGGGCATCTAAGACATGAACAGGTAGGCCTAATTCTTCAACACTCTGGGCTGACATATGCTGGCCAGGCTGGGCTCAGTGCACTATCAGTTGCGACCCAAGCGTTGCATTTGTCTCATGTGCGCCCCATTTGGCGGCCGGCAATTTTATGGGTGTCTTCTTGACGGGACATGTTGGAAACACAATTCAACACAAACATCTTGTAGCTGTGCCATCTGGATATGCACGTTCAATCCCTCATGCCAGGGCAGGCATCTTTGTTCTGCCCCATTCCAGTACTGATCGAGCCGCAATATGCTTACCAAGGGCTGCCACATGTTGTGCGGGTATCTACCGTGGTTGTTCACGCGCACATGCAACAATTCAATGCACATTACAGTTCACGCACCTGCCCTGTCATGAGGGACCAACAAAACAATTGAGCTCTATTTGTGCTAAATCTAGTGGAACTAGCCCGGCGCGTTGCACGAACTGACGAAAAGCCTCAAACTGCTAGCGAATTCCCAGTTGCCACAAGCAGCTGAGAAGTCCAAGGTACCCTAACCGTCTTATCAGGGCAACTTATCGCAAATTGGGAATGGCGGCAAATGCTGAACCTGTGCTTCCGACATAAATCCCAACCTTGATGCCCACCAGTTTGGGTCCCCGTTAAGATTTATACCCAAAGGAATCCCCCAACAGCCCTTCCCAGGGACCAAGCTCATGCCCGAATCGGCGCCTTTGAGTCTTTTGGCTCCTTGGTGTCCTCCGTCGCCTTCTCGGGCAACTTGGCTTTGGCCACCTGAGACCAACAACTCGGGCAACATCTCGGGCCCCGGAGACCTCAGGAGGATGGCCCTGTCCAACCCCCACCGGGAAAAAACAAACAACAGCTCAAAGGGAACTTAGTTGTTGTAGGGTATGTCTTTGCTCGCAAGCCGAGCATCTCATGAGGAAGTCATCTTCGATGTCGAAGATGACTAGGAGCTTGGCTCATGGGCTATCTGCCATTCAGCTTGGCACCGCAACCCGTTTGACTTGGTGTGACAACTCCTTTCCAGCGAAAAACCTCCAATTGCACAGGTGATGCTACGAAGATACAATGCCCCCACGCAACACTGCAAACCAACCCCGCAATGGACGTGCACCGCTATTCAAGGAAAACACAAACAGCCCCAGAGCGCCTGTCAACAAACCCATCTATAGAATATGGGACAGAAAGCAGAAACACAACTGTTTGGGTTCCCCTCCCCTTCTGGACACGCCCGCATTTCACGCTTGCAGCGGAATCATATTCCGGTTGTTGGGGAATGCGAATAATACGTGATCCAGTCCTCCCAAAGTAAATGAACGATGTGGGTGAAGACAAGTGAACCACCCTGCTCACACCAAACTACCTTCACAGTGTTTGCACGTGCTTGTTTCCAGACTTGCGACAGTCCGCGTCTCCATGTCACTACGATACGGATATGGAACCCAAGAACACTGAAGAGTATGAGCCTCCAAAATCAAGGGTCCCGAAAGAAGAACACCTCAGCGCCCAGAGAGGCTTCTTCGGTACCTCCCCCACACCCTCAGCTTCAGATGCCTCAAAAGCGTCCGTCATGGGGGACCACATGTGGCCCTTGCGCTTTGCCTTCTTGTTCTCCTGGGTCGACCAGCACAACTTGTATTACAAACGCGTCACTTAAAAGAAAGCCTTCGCATATTTTGTGCGGGGGTCTTGACGTGGCTAACGCGTCAAGGCAAGTAAACCTGAATCCCTCAAAGTGAATGGTTTGAGGTGAGGGGTTCTCTAAATTTCTTTTGGGGGCTATTCCGCTTTGGACAATATATTTCAAATGCAACTTTGGGAATGTCACTTTGGACCAAGTAGCTTCAACCTATGGAAAACGTCAAGGTGTGGGGCGCCAGTTTGAGGACTTGGACGGGCTTTGGCCATCCATGGACTGGGGCGGTGGGGCTTCTGTCGCACAGAACCAAACAAATAGAGCATCATCAGAAAAGAAAGAGCAAACAAAGATAAGCGAAATGATGCAAAGCGAGGCTCTAAGATTCTTCTAGAAACTACTTTTCGCTTTTGCCAGCCGTTTTGCATGGCTGAAAACAACAACTCCGAGGCTTGTAACTGCACACACCACACGGGACCAGCGAAGCAAGTATGCAGATCTGGGATTGGTGGGAAGGCTTGCGCATGGGGTCTGCAAGTGACTGCGGGAGAAAGCGCGTTCCTTTCGCACGGCGCAAAATACGCGTGGAAGCGTCGTGGCTCTCACAACTCTATTCATTGATTCAAAGGCCTATGAGTATTGACAGTTGGACAAACATCCCTATCAACTCATGCATCAGGTAAGTGGACGTGGCGTAAGATATGCCGCAATATTTGGCACTTGTACTGTACGGCGTGATTGACCACCCCCCAATACTTGGTTCAAGACTCAAGAACAACTTGATTTAATTACGTCTCCCCGCCACAAACAAATGTAGAGTAAACAAAACAAGATCTTATGTGACTATTAGACTATATTGAGGATCCTGATTCGATGTGGACCAAAAGTGGGAACACAAAGTCAAAAATATGATTGGGTTCGGAAATGCAAGCCCTTCCATTCCACGGAGAGTGACTTTTCAGTGACTCCACCAAACCAAAACCAACACCAAACCGACACCAAACGAACCTTTTGATTAGGATAATAGTCCTGCAATTGAGAGCCGACCCCTTCAGGAGCCTTGGCCAAACAAAAGCAACCAGGGGGGGATATGTTTTGTAGCGCTTCGGTGGCACTGACCTCTTTCTTAAGCCTCACACTTACCCTGGGCTGGTCTTGGCAGTCCGATAAAGAACTCCAGGTCCAAGTGATTGTTGGTTAGCCAACAACTTCTCCCGTGGAACAACTGGACAACCTGACCTGCCCACAAAAGGGAAATAGGAACTGATAACTATGGAGATCTTGAAGAACTTGAATGCCCCCCCATTGCTTCGACCCAAGACCCTAAATTACGAGGGCGTTTGAGCCCAAAAGACCTTAACAACCAAAATATCCCCCCTTGGATGGAAATTAACCATTGAGCCCTATGGCAAATCATCGAAATCCAAATGGTGCCATAGATCATGTCCATGATTCAGCAACATTCGGAAGCCTCAAACAAGTTTGATTGATGACCATCGTAGATTCGCTCGTTTTACCGCCGGATCGATTTCAGGGCAGGCCCGTTTCGCCCCCGAGGTGGCCGGAGCGCCTCGCGAGCAGCACTTCGGGCCTGGACCGCGCGGAATTCACACAGATCAATGCGAAACAAAGACAACAAACGCGACAAACAAAGACAAAGGAAGGAAGTCAGGAAGGAAAGGAAGAGAGGGCAGGCAAAGAAAGGGAAGGGGAGGACAAGGGAAGGAATGGTCCAAAAGCAGCTAGTCAAAAACAAATAAGGAAAGAAGCAACGAAACAAACAACATAATGACCACCAGGATAGAAGTACCGACAAAAACCAAACTAGCAAAACGAACACACCAGGGCACAAGAACTGCTTCGAGGGAATGTCTGGGAGGTTGCTTGGGCATGGCCAGCGCCAGAGGGGCGTGCAACTCGTGTAAGCGAAGTGCGCCGAGCTTTGCAACTTTGATGTGTTCCAAAGAAAACCGGGCAAGGATGCCAACCACCCGGAGAGGTACACCTAGGACGCCCAAAAAGTGAAAGGGGGCCAAGCGCGTCTCGTTACGCAGGGACTGGATCGCGGCGGCGCGACCCCACCTCATCCACCTTCTCCGTCGGGCGTGCCTGGCGACATCGGCAGCCAAAGGTTGGGTTGTCTCTATCCCTTTCAAAGAGCAAACCAAAACCAGAGAATTACGCTCCGAGAAAAAGCAACCGAGGAAAAGCACGGATGCCGAGAGAATCCTCGTGTCTTTTGTCTTGCTGTTGGGTGAGGGCTCGAGACATCCGTGTCCATCATTGATTGGTAAGCAAAGACAGGGGCAAGCCAGGATTTTAAGCCATGACTCGAGATAGCAACTTCAATGATGCGCGCACAGGATGCTGGGGGGCGGCGCGCAGGGCGTGTCAGAATTAGCAAGCCTCCCAATACAGTAGTCGTCTTGCAGTTGTCTTTCCATGAAGCCGCCCAGCGGGTCTGTCACATTGACGCAGGGAAGGTGATGTTTGGATGGGCATATGCATTCTTGCCAGGGTTGGCCCAACAAAGCTCATCAAATCCGGTCTTGTTGAAAACGGCTGTTTCTTGCCCTTTCAATATCAGCCTCAGCTCCGGGTCGACAGAAACCTAAAAAAAAAAAAAAAACACGGGCCGATGGCTCTTCTCAAATGGGCTCCGCAAAAAAAGCCGCCGCCCAAGTTCTTCCTTCCGGCTCGCCGCCTTCACGGAAGGCTCGGCCTGGGCAACCTCAAGAAAGGCGGTTCCGGCAAAAGGGGCTCCAACTCATCCAACAAGGCAAGCGATCGGAAGCCGTTAGAACATGTCTAGGGCTAGGATTCCCAACTTGAACAAATAATCATATTCATAAGAATGGTAATCATCATAATGGGGCATCCTCAAGTGTCCCTGAGGATCCCAATTTGAGTGTTTGGCCAACATGAATTAATAGAATGTCTACATGGGCAATTGCGCCTCAGGAAAGAACAAGCTACTGAGACCAGCCCGCAGAATACAAGGCACTTGACCCCTTGACAGGTGTCCTAAATTTGGAAACGGACCGCCTTCAGGAAGATGCTGGACCATAAGGGACCCCTGAAAAGCCTACATTCCCTGCATTCTCCCTTTGAACCAACCAGGAACTGGAAAAATACAACCCCCCATCAGCTTTCTTTCAAAACAAATCTGAAAGAACGACAGGTCTCCACTTCGAGATTAAGCCGTTGCTTCATTCAGCAACACCTAGTCGATGCAACAAATCATGTGACTGTTTCTGAGCCCAACACAGCGGTTGAGGGATCCAAACGGCCCGTGTGTTCAGTAGATTCCAGCAATACAAGTCATTGGCGAGCTGGTGTTTACGGTTAAGTGGCTGGTATTCTGCTGCGATGCAGGATTACTTTGCCTGGTTTCATTGCTGCATTCAGGCAAGAGTACTTACAAAGCCACATTGGCGTTGTACTTCATGGGCTTTCAGGCTGGTCTGCTTGCTCTGTTTTGCGGGAATCCAATGTTGGGCTTGCCATGCCGCAGGCCGATTCTGGTCGGGCTCCTTGCGGAAACTTCGGGATATTTTAGCATGTCTCGAAGCGGGGGAACCGCCAACGCGGGTGGTGCTCCTTTGTTTGCTCGAGCAACAGGTACCCAAAAAGACACACGCACACACACACAAGGCACACCCATAGACACACACACACACCAACACACGTCTTGAAGCGGCTGATTACTAAGTTGGTTAATGTGACTATATACTTACGACATCTTACGACCAGATGCGGGGAAGCAGTAACTAATAAAGAACCATAAAATAACATTGGGGGGGCTGTTTGGGGACCCATTTTGAGGTTGATTATGTTGATTCACTGCAAAACCCATCTGGACGCCACCCTTTTCTTGGGGATTTCCCTAGCAAAAAGCGGAGCCCAACTCTCGCCGTGGCGCGGTACTCGTCGCACCTCCGACACTCGGAGCGCTGGCCGCCGCTGCGCCCGCGCCGGCCGCGCCGCGCGCCGTGGGCGCATCCGCCGGGCGCTCGACGTCGGCACTGGTTGCGGGTCGGGGGCCCGGGGTGCGAAGAGAAGGCGGCAGCCTCAGACTCAAATCTTGCCTGCCGGATTCTCGGCCTACTGGCTGGTTATAAGTTGCAAGTTGCTGAACTCCCAGAAAGGATTGCATGCGACCGATCAGGGGCGCAAGATGGCCAACGCCAAAGAACCCTCTGAACAAACAATCCGCTGGCACACTCCGCTGGCCCTTTTCGCCCAGTCATTTATGGGATTCGAACCTAATAGCATGCTACTGCGCCGCTTTAGACATTCAAACCAAACCCAGCCGTTGGCCTGGTTATCCCTCAAACATGTGAATTCCCCTTCATTGGGTTTTGCAAAAGGAAGACCCATAGGAACTTCCAGCAATTTGACACACCAACTGAAACAAAAGAGCAGTTCTCATTGAAGGGAGTTTGTGGCGTCCGTTGGCCAAATTTACCTGAAACAAAAAAACGATACGGAAACCGTTGGACTTTCAGCATTTCGGCCGTGTCTGCACAAAACACCTTAAACTCTTCGTGACATCCCTGGTCGATCCCCGAGTGAGGTTCACGTGTGCAAAGGAAAACTGGCGTCGAGAGCGAATTGACTTGACACAAATACATCTCAAACCGAGGAACCCGTCGTTTTGCTTCGTTCATGTATAGCAAGACGCCATCAAAACCAGCCAAAGAATCAATCAACCAGTCTCAGGCGTGCATCCCATACTGAACAAGACATGGTTGGTTGCTTGATGGTTTTCCTTGAACATTCCAAACAGCATTCACCGGCAGTCCCCAAGTTTGGGAGTCCAAACGCGGTCAATGCTTAGGCCCTGGGCCAATGATGTATCTTGTGCTGAACCACCGTCAATTCGTCCAAGGGAAGTAAGATGATGCCCAATGCATTTGCTGGGGCTAATCAAGAGATTGGTCCTGTTGACCCACTTCCTCAGCGGATTGACCAACCCAATCCTGAACCTTTCTTGTTTGCCGACTGGGGGGTTCACACGCACCTGAAGCAAGGTATCCGCCAGAAACCTTCATCATGGGCTTGCTCGTTTCAATTCCTGGATCCATCAGCTGCAATTTGTTTGCCACGGGTCATGCTCAGGGGCGGCCAAATTTCGAAGGACATCAACTTCCACCTAGCTACTCTAAAAGTCCTGGCCTAAAAAGACTTTCAAAAACAAGTAGCTGTCCATGGCAAGTGGGTAAATGGGGGCCCCTCGTTTCGTCAGAAACCAACCGGCTTTGATCCAAGGGGAACCGGCCAAGGTGCCTCGGCTCCGCCTTGGGCTCCGCCTTGGGCTCCGCCTTCGGCTCGGAGATCTGCGGCTTCGGCTTGGAGGGCTGCGGCGTCGGCGCCCCTCGACCTGAAGGCGTGTTGACCGATGGTGACTATACCTTGGGCCTTGGAAAGGCCGTGTTTGGATTAACTTCTAAATATGTATGCATGTATGCATGTACATATGTACGCATGTACGCATGTACGCATGTATGTATGTAGGTATGTATGTATGAATGTAGGTATGTAGGTATGTAGGTATGTACGAATGTATGTATGTATGTATGTATGTAGGTAGGTAGGTATGTAGGTATGTATGCATGTACATATGTACGCATGTACACATGTACGCATGTATGTATGTATGTATGTATGTATGTATGTATGTATGTATGTATGTAGGTATGTAGGTATGTAGGTATGTACGAATGTATGTATGTATGTATGTATGTATGTATGTAGGTAGGTAGGTAGGTATGTAGGTATGTATGCATGTACATATGTACGCATGTACGCATGTACGCATGTATGGTACGTAGGTATGTAGGTATGTAGGTATGTACGAATGTATGTATGTATGTATGTAGGTATCTAGGTATGTAGGTACGTACGAATCTATGTATGTATGTATGTATGCAGGTAGGTAGGTAGGTATGTAGGTATGTATGTAGGTAGGTAGGTATGTAGGTATGTAGGTATGTAGGTATGTAGGTATGTATGTATGTATGTATGTATGCATGTATGCATGTATGCATGTATGCATGTATGCATGTAGGTATGTAGGTATGTAGGTATGTAGGTATGTAGGTATGTAGGCATGTAGGCATGTATGTATGTATGTATGAATGCATGTATGTATGTATGCATGTATGCATGTATGCATGTAGGTATGTAGGTGTGTAGGTATGTAGGTATGTAGGCATGTAGGCATGTATGCATGTATGTATGTATGAATGCATGTATGTATGTATGTATGCATGTATGCATGTATGCATGTATGAATGTATGCATGTATGCATGTAGGTATGTAGGTATGTAGGTATGTAGGTATGTAGGTATGTAGGCATGTAGGCATGTATGTATGTATGCATGCATGTATGTAGGTATGCATGTATGCATGCATGTAGGCATGTAGGTATGTAGGTATGTAGGTGTGTAGGTATGTAGGTATGTAGGTATGTAGGCATGTAGGCATGTATGTATGTATGTATGTACGTATGTACGTATGTGTGTATGTATGGATGTATGCATGTATGCATGTATGATGTACGCATGTACGCATGTATGTATGTATGTATGTACGTATGTATGAATGTATGTATGTATGTAGGTAGGTATGTAGGTATGTATGTATGCATGTATGCATGTATGCATGTAGGTATGTAGGTATGTAGGTATGTAGGTATGTAGGAATGTAGGCATGTAGGCATGTATGTATGTATGTATGTACGTATGTGCGTACGTATGTATGTATGTGCGTATGTACGTATGTATGTGCGTATGTACGTATGTACGTATGTATGTACGTATGTACGTATGTATGTATGCATGTATGTATGTAGGTAAGTACGAATGTATGTATGTATGTGTGTATGTAGGTAGGTAGGTATGTAGGTATGTAGGTATGTATGTATGTACGTATGAATGCATGTATGTATGTATGCATGTATGCATGTATGCATGCATGTAGGTATGTAGGTATGTAGGTATGTAGGTATGTAGGCATGTAGGCATGTATGTATGTATGTACGTATGTACGTATGTGTGTATGTATGTATGTATGTATGTATGCATGTATGCATGTACGATGTACGCATGTACGCATGTATGTATGTATGTACGTATGTACGAATGTATGTATGTATGTATGTAGGTAGGTAGGTATGTGGGTATGTAGGTATGTAGGTATGCATGTATGTACGCATGTAGGCATGTATATATGTATGTATGCATGTATACATGTATGCATGTAGGTATGTAGGTATGTAGGGGTGTAGGTATGTAGGCATGTAGGCATGTATGTATGTATGTACGTATGTGCGTACGTATGTATGTATGTACGTATGTACGTATGTACGTATGTATGTATGTATGTATGTACGCATGTATGTATGTATGTATGCATGAATGCATGCATGTATGTATGTAGGTATGTAGGTATGTAGGTATGTAGGTATGTAGGTATATATGTATGTACGTATGTACGTATGTATTTATGTCTGTATGTATATATGTATGCATGTATGTATGCATGTACGCATGCATGCATGTATGTATGTATGTATGTACGCATGTATGCATGTATGTATGTACGTACGCATGTACGCACGTATATATGTATGTATGTATGTATGTATGTATGTGTGTGTGTGTGTATGTATGTATGTAGGTATGTAGGTATGTAGGTATGTATGTATGTTTGTACGTATGTACGCATGTATGTATATATGTATGTATGTATGTATGTATGTATTGATGTATGTATGTATGTATGTATGTATGTATGTATGTATGTATGTATGTATGTATGTATGTATGTATGTACATATGTATGTATGTATGTATGTAGATAGGTAGGTAGGTAGGTAGGTAGGTAGGTATGTAGGTATGGAGGTATGTAGGTATGTAGGTATGTAGGTATGTACGTATGTAGGTATGTAGGTATGTAGGTATGTATGTATGTATGTATCTATGTATGTATGTATGTATGTACGCATGTACGCATGTAGGTATCTAGGTATGTAGGTATGTAGGTATGCAGGTATGTAGGTATGTAGGTATGTAGGTATGTAGGTATGTGTATGTAGGTATGTATCTAAGTATGTAGGTATGCAGGTATGTAGGTAGGTATGTAGGTAGGTATGTAGGTATGTAGGCATGTTTGTATATATATATATATATTGTGGAACCCCCCCCCCCCAATGGATATATGTATTATGCCCAATGTGAAGTATATGGGATAGGTATTGTAAGATTGTCGAAGAGAAACACTGGGCGCGCACGTACGACTTTGCGGAGATCGCTCGTCATTCTGGTGCCACACGGCCAGGACATGCTGCCGCCTACACACTGCCACCCAAAAAACCAACGCAGACCCTATCCACTTACTACTTGCTTTATAGCAGATCCAAGGCTTTTCCGCATCAGATAGTGGCACCTCTTCGGTGTCATTTCTGGTCCGACTAGGACGTCCACACATCAGCGGGTGTCCCATACATATCCCGATTTGAAAACCCTCGCACAAACATCCTGCACGAAAACAGCAATGTTGGGAACTGACATCGCAGACATAAACAGCCCACTATTTGGGAACTGCAATCACCCAAATGGGGATTTCTCAAAATTGGGGGACCCCCCAAAATGGTGGTGTACTTTTGGTTTCCCTTTAAAGCCACCAAAAAAGGGTACCATCCAAAAAACGAGACCCCCCAAATTGGCTGACCCACTGGACTCGGGCCAAGCCTGCCACGCCTGGATCCTTCCGGAGGCGCGCGTCAGCGCTTTTGCGGCGGGCGCCCCTCTCGCGGCCTCGCGTCGACCGACAAACAGGAGCGATCAATTCTCACAAGAAGCCGGGCCCAACACCCATTGTCTCTTGGTTCTACCCAAATTGTACTAACCGTGTATAATATATATATATATACATGTATATATATATATATTGATAGACATGTGTTCCTTTGTAGAATCCCCATTCAACCAAGGCAGTAGACCTCCTAGAAAATACAAACACAATAAGGGTTTGGGCGCTGCTCATGTGAGGTCTGCTACTCCAGGAATGTACAGGTTTGTTGCGGCTGGCCTCGATTCCGAAGGCAGGTCAGTGATTAAATGGAATTGGAACAGGACAGCTCTGATGATTGAATTTGACCTCAAAGAGACCGGCACATAACAACTTGGACCAGAAGAGAAAGCTGACGCCGACATGTGCCTCGCTCAATCCAACTTGCCAACACATTCTGATTTGCTGAACCTGGTTGCTTGATGCTGGTCAACGTCGATCCTGATCAATGTGGCAGGTCTTCCCACCAAAGTGAAAACATCATCAAATCAATCTTAAATGGAACACCCCCTGCTGCTGTTTATGGACAAAACCCTGCACCTTGTACGTGGTGTATCCGAGTATTGCATAGAGCTTGATCTTAAATGAAATACTCGACAACACCCTTCCTATTCCTTAACCAGCTGCAAAGCTGCTTGTTGATCACCGCACATTTCCCTCGTTCGGCACCGTCCCGCGCCTGCCGGAGGCTGCGCGGACCTGCGTTCACCGGGGCAAAGGGCAAGCGAGCAGATTAAGCATCAACATATCCGGCCTGACATGAACAAGCTAGAGGGCCTGGTTTTGGTGGAGTGAAACTTCCAATTTCGGTGAACATGTGTGCCCCCGGGGTTTGGGAACATGTGAAACACTGTGAGTCTGGTTGTTTGGGTGTGGGAAACCCATGCCCCGCAAACTACCGAAGCTCAAACTGACCATCTGCAGCAACAATTGACCGAACCTCATAGTGCATGCAGGAAACATGTTTAAGCTTCAAAACTCGGCGCCTCTTTGCTTGCGCGCAACCGGCATCCAAATCCACATCATCCAAGTTTGCATCCTTTCTGTGTTATCGCCAGACTCGAAGGGGTGTGTGCCGACAGGACTAGCTTGGCCAAAGCCCGTAGTTGGCCATACTTGCCACTATGGCTTAACCAATTTCAAACTTCTCAAGGATTTCACTAACTTGAAGAGGAAACCTAGGCTCTTGACCCCGGACAAAATACGGCTATTGGTGCAGTCTCCAATTGTCAGCCCCCTCAAAGGCTTTAGGGAAAGCAAACTCAACTCAACTCCTGAGTATTAGTTTAAAAAAACTGTCCCAATATCTCGCTTCCGTCATGTGATGCAGATAACCGTAGAACATCCAGATCCTCTTGTGTGTGTGTACATATGTCGCATTACTCTGTCCCAGGATGGTGACCACAGCAACCACACTGAAACCACCAAACCTCAGAAACCCTGAAGAAAAACAAGCAAAGGTCAGGAAAGTCAATTCAGCAAATGGTGACAGCATCGCCCACTGAATTGCCTGAAAAGACATGGAAATAACAGATTCATCTACCATTGCCGGGTCAACACTGTTTCTGTGCTCGTTTTTGGCCGCGCCTGGCGCGACGATCTGGGCGCTCTGAAGGGGGGGCACCTGACTCAAGGGCACGCTCTCTTCACGGGTGGGTAGGTAGGCGGGCGGGTTGGGGCTGGCTACATAGGCGCATGGGATGCCAAAACAAGGGATCAAGGACAACTAAGATGCGTTGTCAAGGGATCAAGAAGTCATAACAACTAGCAAAAGCAAATCCAACATTTCTCGGGGTCACACACGCACGTCATGCAGACTCAAGCATGGACACACGGAGAAACTCAGACAGAAGCACAAACACAAAGACCAACACATCACACACTCACAAGTCGTTGGATGTACCCAGGGCATTGCTTATATAGCTATTGCGCTCTCCGAGTTGGTGTGCAGACTCAAACTGCTACTAAAAACGGCTTGCTTGCTTGTTTTTGTTGGGCTGTGTGGTGTCAAGAGAGCAGCTGTCGAACAGGATGAAAGGAGATGAGCTTCTGCAGCAAGTGACAAGCCTGTTTGAGGGGGCTCTCACAACCAGGGTTCCGACATGTTCCAACCACCCGGGACCCTAATTTTAAGACATACCTGGAGTCTCCATGACCCTCAAAAAATGGGGTCATTACCCAAAATAAAGAAATGGCTCATGGCCCCTTTTTTAAAGGGTCATGGAGACTCCAGGTACTCAAATCTAAAGAGATCCGAATTCCTATTCCACCCGTCACCGGCAGCGCCTAGGCGTGCGCCAAGGGCCACGAGCTCAGCGCGAGGCACTTTGCACTGCTCAAGCCTCAAGCGGCGGCGCGAGTGGGCCGACGATGGCGAAGGATGTGTTCCTTTGGGTGCTTCTCTGCATAAGCTCATCTGCACAATCCAGGTGCTTTCACAGGTTTGTGCTTGAGCGTGTAGGTGTGCTGTGTCCAGCCAAAGGCCCCATCAACGCAGGCTGAGGGAGTGAGGAATGACACAACGCATACAAGGCACAAAGGCTACAGTCCTCCAGCCAAGCGGGACTCGTTTTGGCAGATGCTACAGTTCCAACGGATTTATTCTCGCCTCGGAACTAGATCACACGAACAGAAACATATAGCACGACTTGCATTCAGTTTGCCTTGCACGTAAGACTGGTAGCTCTTTCTGATGATCATATAGTCTCCTGTACCGGCAAGCTCCTGCACCCAGTGTTAGATGTCTGAATGAATAAAGGATTCCTACTATCATCTTGGCTGCTGCCCAAGAATCAAACTTTGAATACTTCCTGAGGGCCGTATGTACCTCAGGTCTAGGCTTGGCAGCATCGTTTGCTTTTTTGACTGTTACTGTCTGTGTGCGTGTGTGTCCACAGGTGTTAGTATGCGCGCTTTTCCTGCTTCCGAGCAACCAGGAATCCACAGTGAGAGTTTAAAGAGCTCCTTAATTACATGAGGGATCCAAAATTTCCGAAAAGGAAGCTCACGGTGCTTTACAGTTGAATCACCAATTCGATCCGCTTGAGGCTCAGGCAAAGCGACCAGCGGTGACGGAAGCCTTGGACCGGGCATGCCATGAATAAAAACACACTGCAGGATCACGAAGTGTGGATGTTTAGTCCCCACCCAAGCTGCTTCTTGAACCCCTTGTTGTGCCTCCGAAACAATCCATTCAGTTCATGGTTGCACGATCATGGCGAAAGCTACGTAATGTGTTGTTTGTTTTATATGCTTTAGCCAATGGGCCAATGTCGGCAATGCGTGAAAATCCTTCTTGCAACCCAACCTGTGAATCATGGGCTGTTGGCTGTTCACGCGCAACCTTTTCTCTCGCTCTCTCATACAGCTCATCAAAATCAATATATAGATTGATTTGAATATATTGCTTGCTTACCATCCCATTTGCTAAATACTGTTGAACAAGCAATGTCTGCAAGACAGCTGCATTCCATTGGGCGCAGCAACTTCACAAAGGCTGAGCAGCCTCACTAAGTAAGGTCAACAACATGTTGCAGTAGAACAAAGCAATTATCGACGTTCAACTGCGGATGGGCGGCCAGGTCCCACTTGTCCGTACACCAAGCAAAAATCCTCGATCTGCTACCATGTACATACGAGCTAAAACCACCAACCTCGCAAGATACCTTGGTTCCCTCCTTTCATGTACATGAACACTTGAAGAGCGATCGTTCTGGTCGTGAGAATACACATGCGCTCCCAATGTTCTTCGCAAAAGCACAGACACCCCAACTCTCTCTGCATAGGCGAAGTAAGCTCTTGGGAATATGTCCCTGACCTCAGTCCTCCAAATTTAGATAGAAGTCTTGCCGTTTTGGGCTTTTGACTTTGCAAGGAACTCCAACCAACAAATGAGAAAGGACCCCACCTTCTTTGCAAGTGGGCAGGGGGCTTGCCCTCAAAGACGGTACTCTTCCAACATATTCAAAAGAACGATGAGCCTTTGCATTGATGGAACGTGGCCCTTTCCAGGCTCTTTGAACAGAATGCTTTGAGCGCAGGCACCAACACACATCGCCTTGGGTCCGGACTTGTGACCACCGGCCAGCAATGCTTTCGCAACCTTCCATCCTGGCACCTGGAAAAGCACCGCCGGCATGAGAACCAACTGAGCAGCGCCTGAAAACATGCTTTTTCTTTTTGTTCTACCGACATCGTTGCAAAGGTTTACTTCCCATTCTTTGGCAGATGAGCAACAAACACGTTGGTATTTGCAGCCGCCCACTAAGCATGATCAGAAACAAAATACCAATAACAGTGAAGTTCAAAATCACGCACAGGGTATTTAAAAAAGGGAAACGGGCCTTTTGGGCATTTTGGTCGGCAAAACAAGTACCCTTTGATTCCATGAAAAATCGGCTCTAGCCTTAAGGGGCCTTTAGCCGGGGCCCCCAATAACCTTAAAAGCGTAATGAAAGGGCCCCGAAGAAAAAACACTGAACCCAAACATGGCGTTGAATAGAGCACCCTCTATTATCAACCGCGAAACCCATGTTTCAAAGATGTTTCAAGGGTTCCCACAAATTCACCCCCTCAAATCCACAATGTTCATGAAATTACACTGGTTGTTCTTATTTTGCCCTTATTGAAGCTTGGTAAATGTTATGAAAGTCTATTAAAGCTTATTAAAGCTTATGTCCTTGCTATCTTTGCAAGAATGATTAGACTTTAATAAGGGCAAGGTAGTCGCAACATAAGGCCTGAGATTCAGGGCAGTCATAGCCTTTGCTCCCTTGCCCTAAGTTCTATTGGAGGTGATGCCAGCACTGAGCCACTCACGATCAGCGGCTATTTTTGTGCAATGTCTGAAGTGTCTGGCTTTGCTGGGGGGCTGAGTCACTTGCCAACAGGTTGGTCTTATTTATGCGTGCGCTGTCAGGAATGCTGCCCAACTGGCTAGATACCGGAAGATACGTGCTTTTACATGCTCGTGCCAGCTATTTAGTTGCTATTAAAGACTATGCCCTGCTTGTTTTGTGGATTGCAGCCTATTTTGTGCTAATTTTGGGCCCATTAAAGCTTATTCAAGTTGATTTAAAGTTTATTGAAACTTGTTGTGCGCTTGTGTTGCGCTTGTGCTGTGTTTATGTTGTGCTTATTTTGCGCTTATTTTGCGCTTGTGTTGCGCCTGCTTTTAGCGCCCTGTGCATTTCCTGCCCCTGTGCACCCTCCCGCCACGTTCTAGCACGGCCCCACTCCCACTGATTCCGGTGCCGGCGCTGCTGTTGTCATTGTTACCCTAGTTGGTGCCGGCGCTGCTGTTGCATTGTTACCCTAGTTGATGTAGCTGTTGCTGCTGCTTTTGTTGAAACAACGCAGTTGGTCATTCGGCGACGACAGCATTGCGTGCGCATGTCTGACAATCAAGATTCAGAAGCGTGCCCTGACATAAATATGGGGTTTGGGGGGTGGATTTGGAAGGCCCCATCTAAAAATGTGTGAATGTTGCTTTGAATCCCGGGCCAACATTCGTTGGGTACTTAGCACGTCCTTAGTACTAGTAGTGCACACTAGCGAAACAAAAATATTACACGACATACTTCACCCCAACCGCTGGCCTTGCTCTTCGTCCGATTGTCACCAGAAAAATAACGCCGCAGTTCTTGGAAAAAACGAACAAGCGGGGATAGAGGGAGCGGCCTATATATCAAACTTAGTCAAGGTGCATTTGGGGGGAATCCTCAACCGTATCCAACTGGTTCCCCCAACCGTATCCTCAACCGTATCCAACTGCTACTTGGCTTCCCAGTTCCTTCCTTCGACTCCAACAGCTCCGCCCAACGAGAGCCTCCGGCTTCGCGGCGACCTTCAGCGCGCTCCGCAGCAGTTGGGTCGCCTGCAACGCGGCGGGGCGCGATTTGGGGCGGCTCGCCCTGGCCGGGTTTCCACGCAAAAGCTGGGGCCGTGTTAGTCTTTACCCCAAATGGTGGATGTTCATGGGAATGACTTGGAAACATGCCGTGAACGACAGGTGAATTCCAACGGTTCCACCAACCCAAGCGGAGGTCTGGGTTTCATCTCAAGGCCGCGCACTCTGGCTTGGAGCCACACCAAGCAAATATTTATCTTCCAAGCGAACAAATACCGCATACAGTAACGTGTAACACAAACCATCTGATGAACCAAACACAAGTCAAATTCAAGAGCGCAGTTTGGATGCACTGCCATAAAATGATCTTCCAGGACCTCCCCAGTCCAAATTTTGCAGCTGCAACGGCAAGCCGTCGCAGCCAACTGCGAGCCTTCGCCTTGCCAGCATCACCTGAGCGAACATGCTGCGCCAACAAGTCTGGCGCAGGATGTTGCTGCACCCTCTTTGTTCCAGATGCCGCCATTCAGCGTGCTTGGTATTACAATGATGGGGAAAACTTGGCCCAAAATCCTGAACACGAGCAAGTAGCTGCAAAATGTGTGTTGGCAACAAGTTCTTTAGGTTGCGGTGAGCATGTTACTAGTTACATCAATTGGCAGCCCTTCAGTTCCTGGGGCCCGCCGTGCCCGCCGTGCGAAAATGCGTGAGCTGAACTGGACTGAATGCCCGAAGATACAACCAACAAGAACGAGCGCCCGTGCCCCAAATGCGACGAACCATGCCGCAGCGCCTGCAAGCAGCTGCGCCCTCTCCACCGGCGCTGCTCCCTCAAACTCCACCAGCAGCGACCTTGGCCAACACGGGCGGGTTGGTTCGCAGTTCGTGCACAGGCTTGCTTTCAGCATGCTGAGTTCCCCGCAGCAGTTGCTCGACTTTGCAGGCCAAGAGCGGTGCGCGTTTGTCGCGTAAGTACGCCAGGCCCTATACCCCACTCTTGCCCAATGGTGCGCCCTGCAAATGGGTTTTTGGATCCTGCCTCTTCACCCGTTCCGTGGCACGCATTGAGTTATACAATTGGATACAATTTGATCAGGCGTTCGTGATTCGTGAATAGCGCGCGCTGGCAACAAACCAAACGTGTTGTACGCCTGAGTGGAATGCCCACGCATGCACAGCTGCAAAAGCTCGTTAGACCTATGAAGGGGATCAGCTCAGAAGCAACATGCAAAACAAAACATGGACTTACGTCTGGTCAGCAACCCTACATTGGGCACACGCCTTTGCAGGAACTCCACAGAACCAAGCAAGCAACAAACGGGTAAAAAAATACAGGACCAGCAGGAGCCTGAAGTAATTTTCCCAGAATAACAGGCCATCAAATACCCTCAAAAGCAAGACGACTCCACCAGTTCCTGAAATTCCAGGGTGTGCTTCTGAAACATCGATGGAAAATTGGCACATGAGCAGAACCAAACTGACACCACTGTGCTCAACCAAAATGGCCAATGACACCTACCAACTCTTGCACATTGAGGGCTTGTGGCTGAAATCCACAGTCCAGGCGCCTTGTCAGAAATCCCTTCATCGAGTTGCCAAAACAAAAGAGGTGCAATGAATCCACAAGCCGTAGGAGTCACCCCTTGGCACTCCCAACGTCCATGGTGGTTGGTTCCAATGAAACCGCATTTCGGCTGCCAAGGCTCTGTGCGCTTTGCTGCTCCTGCAGCTCGCGCTCCCAGGTCTTGGTCAGGGACTTCAGCGCTGCCCGAAGCTTTTTCCTGAAACTCGGAATCCTACCATTTGGCCATGGGTCAAAATCCAAATCATACCCCCAGTGAACATCCGATTCAATCCCCACTAGGTTTTGACCCACAGCCATTTCAACTCCCCGACCTCACAAGCGGATAACTCTATGATTTTTTGGATTACCATGCCGCCAGTATCAGCTCCTGGGCTACACAGATGTGCAAGTTCAACCGTTTAACGCAACCTGGAAACATCATGCCCACGAGTATGCACACATTCCATGTTTGGGTAGCCCCACAAAAAGATACATAAAACATGACAGAGCAACAATCAAATGAAGAGGCATTCGCAAAATAACAAACTACAACTGGCACCTAAACCAGACCGAATACCCCAGATTTGGCCAAATGACCCACTAGCTGTCGCAAGGTGAAGTAAACACACCCACCCTGCTCGCATCCTCGCGCCAAGCAAAAAGCACATTGAACCCCCCCAATTGTTTACCCTCATCTGGAAGCCATGAGGGCACTGGTCATGGTTCATTTCCTTTTCCCACCAGGGACCTTTAAAAATGCAAACAATCCCAAACCGGCAATCAGGAATGCCCAACAAGCCAAGAACGAGCTCGATACCCAGAAACCTTGGAAGACACGTAGCTCTCCGCGTGCTTCCCTTTAGACCAGACACAAAAATATCCGTGCGTTTCCCTATAAGCCAGCCATACACAGGCAAAAACCCGCGCACCAAAAGGGGGCCAAATCCATTCCGCGGCCGAGGCGCTCGTCGGCGAGGCAGGCCAGGCAATGGGGCCCCAGGTTTTGCGCCAACTTGGCGGCCACGGATCCGCAGAGCCGCGGGTCCACGGAGATGCCGAGCCTCAGACGCGTCGGGAGAATGTGCGCCGAGAGAGATATGATGCTGTCCTTCAACTGGATTTTAATGAAGGTTGAAACAGGTGGTGTTGTTTAATGGTAAAACAGGAGCAGTTTTCTTTTGAAGGGATCCCTTTGTGAAAGTTCTGGAAACAGGAGGTGTTTTTGCTGGGCTCTGGCCGATCCCGAAGGCCCCATTCAAATTACCCCGATAGCTATGCCTCATCCAACCTGGTAATCTGGGTCATCCAGGCAATAGTTGAACATGGCTGGCGAAAAAGTCTGGACTTCAAAACCGGCAGACTTGCTGGCGAGTGTTGCTTCTTCCCTCGCCCTTCCAGGAAATTGTTGCGAGAAGAAACCGATAGGGACCTTTTCCAACTGATACCCGAGTATTGGTGTGCTTTGCTCATGTGCTCCCGTTTCTGTTCTTTTGTGTTCCATATTGATTCTCCCACAAAAGTTGATCATATTTACAATTAATATTTGTTGACTCGTTGTGAGCTTTTCTTGGATGTAGCGGACTTATGCCCAATGAATTGTGTCTTCTTCGTTTCCCCCCTCCCTGGTGTTCCCCCAACAAATTCCAATCAGTCTGCGGTCAGACCTTCCAGGAAGATCCAATGCTGCTGGAATTAAGTCCTCTTGAACTCCCCGGTTCATCGTCATCGTTCCTCTGTTACTGTTTAAGGCCGTCCTCTTTTCTTGATCTCCCTTCTCGAGCTTTTCAATGAGTCTGTTCTTCTGTCCTCCTTTGACCCCTCCGCGTCGTTTCTCTGCCCCCCCGCCCCACACCTTCCCCACCCCTTCCGCCAAGGCGGCAAAGCCAGGTACAGGAGCTCCGCTTGCCGCTGTGGCGGCGGCACGGGCAGCGCCTAAGCCCAGAGCCCTCGCTGAAAACCCAATGGCGCTGGGATGAGCCCGACCGATTTCCGGGGGATCCCCGGAAGGGCCACTTTTTTGGCTTGGAAGTTTGCGTTGCTGGGAAAGCTTGTGGCTAGAGGTCCCACAGCGAGAGGAACCCCTCCAAAACACAAGTTGCTTGCCCTCAAACGGCAAGCTAAACAGGTCACAATTCCGGGAACTGTTGTCAACTAGCTTTTTTACCGTCGGTGCATTTACATGGGATTTAGGCAGGCCAACCAGTCATGTTCGAGGGTTTCCAATCATAAAACATAGCCACTTGCCGGCAGGACACGTTTTGTCCTTTGAACATGGATCGCAAAAGACCCGTGAAATGGCGATGCCTCCACACAAGGGTGACTACGAGTGGCTGGTTTCACGTTGGTTCCCCTTTCAATCCTTTCCAAGACGGTTGCTTAGTTTCGACATAAGATGGAAAACAACTGTAGACAAGTGCTGCTCTCTAGTGTCTGCTAACGTTTGCCTTCCGGCTTGCAGGGCTCCAACTTTTCTCGTACACTTCACTTGCTTTTCAAGCTCTGCTGTACAAGTTCCCTTTGTGCAAGTCAAACCGAACATGTCGCTGCGCAGCACATAGTGGACCAAAGGCTTGCTAGTAAGGCCCTCACAATCACCCGGTCATCAAACCCAGTGATTCCGTTTACCTGTAGTAAGTAGGAAGCACCCCCTTTCAAACCAAATGGAAAGATGTGACTGGAGGGGGTTGGGCCTTGCCAAAATCCGAGGACACGTCTCCTTTTCGGGTCCCCCCTGCAAAGTGCCCCTTGACTCATTCGTGGGGGGCAAACAATCCCAACCTGTGGCAGATCCACTGCGGACTGATATCCGGCCTCTGCTGCCTCCTTGGCTCCATCCGGGCTTGGTAGAGCTGTAATGCCTGCACGGCAAAGCCCGCACTTGCCTATAGGTCAATCGGGCTTGCTTGGGCCATTGGAATTAAGGGTCCGGCTTAGTCCCCAAAAAAACCTAAGGCTGTACGCGCTGACTGGCCCTACACTGAATGATTTTGGAATCATGCAAATGACACCTTTGAGAAAGAACACAGTTGATAGCATGTTGCTGGATGTTAGTGTCGGTCTTGCCCTGGTTCCTGCACGAATGCCATGACAAGCGTCTCGGCAAAAGAACACCGCATAATTCACTCCTGTAGAAGTACCATACCGCAGCCACGCATTGGATGCATCCCCAGCTGCTGTCCAGATGGCTGTTGGGTGAGCAACAGTTGCCTGCGTGTCACCAACTGTGCATTGCGTGCATCAACAAACACACAACACACTCAGAAAGCCTCACCAGCGTCTTCCAGAATGACAACTCTCACTGGCTTCTTGATGTACACAGTTGCCCGCTTGCATGGGGTATGGCTCGTCTGCATTTGAGTCATGGCTTGCTTAAAAGGCCAGCTATAAAACCCCTCTATCAAGATGGTGTCAAAGTAGATGGCAAGAATCCGTAGCGCAACCTCCAATGCAGACCCTTGCCTGCAGGAACAATGACAGTGCCGACCCATGAACAACATGAATGTGTTTGGTCATGCCTTTCAGCCTTTATGCCTTTGCTTGCCGAGATCCGCTCAAATGTATCCCCCAGTCCTGAGACATGATGAACAATGTATACCCGAATCCAGGCTGATGCAGGAACCATTTGCCCTTCCAAGCCAATTTCGGTGACTTCATTTACCCAAAAAGGCAACCAAAGGTAACCACCGATTCATAGAAAAACTAGATGAACATTAGCTAGTTAGCGCTGGTGAACTACTAGGATCCGGAACCACCGGTTTGTAGAAGACTAGATGATGTAGATGAAATTGGCTGGTTATCTCCTGGGTTCCTCTGTGAGTTGTTCTCCATTTGCCTAAGTTCCCTGGAAAACATGAGACACTATTTCCAATAGTGAAATCGTTCCAACTTTAAAACCAACAGGGGAAACACAAACACAATCTTTTTAGCCAATGGAATCTTAAAAACCCTTTACACAAATATTTAATATTTGTTTCACCAAAATGCCAATGGCATCTTAACAACAAACCCATTTAAACAAACAAAGCAAACTTAACCAACATGGACTTGCAAAACATGTTACGCCAAAACAGGTCTTAACCAAAATGGAGGTGGTTGCTTCTGGCTTTTCTCTTTCGCGCCTAGGACCTTCAAGGCCTCCAGCAGTCTCTGCTGGAAGCCGGCGGCCAGAAGCTTCTGAAGCTCCGCAGTGGGCAGCTGCAGTAGCATGCCCACCACCTGGCGTCCCCCCGTTTGGACGTTCGGATGGGTGCGAAAAAGGGAAACCAAGAGGCACCAACCAGTTCTGGGGATGGATCAGTTGCCAGGAAACCAGCTCTTGTTGTCTTTTTTTTTTGGGGGGGGGTTCAACTAATTTTCTGGGTGCACGCGATCGTGCTACAGAGATGCCGGCTGGCCGTGTACGACAACAACAACTGATTTGAATGAAGCCCACAAAGAGTTGGACATGGCCAAACCCTAGGTAGCTACAGTAGCTAAGAGTGGGCCAAGAAACCATTGGCATCAAGCAAGCAGCAAGATTACAGAACACGGCAGCCAGTCACCACGTCAAAGCCAAAATAAAATCGGCACGCCAATCAAAAAATGTTTGTGGAAAATACACCTTTCTGACCGGAGTCGGCCGTGATTTAGCATCCAGCCATCAAAAATAGTGGTTTCTCCGAATTTATATCGCAAACAAAAGAACCTGCAGTTTGGAAGATTGAGGGGCAAACCCTACCATTCATACCCTACTCAAAGCAACAAACAACGATTTCTTGATTTGTTGCTTGATGGAAACCTTCAGATCTTCAACACCCATCAAAATTGGGGTTCCCCCCCCGTTTACTTCAAATCAAAATGGGGTATTGAGTTTCCAATCAAAAAGTGGCAGGGCGGGGATTCTCCCACTTGTGGATCTTGGGCCAAGTTCGCGAGCTGCCAGCCATGTGAATGACCCACTAGGGTTAACTCCGCTGCGGGGCTTCTAAGTGGTTAACCAACCGGTCGCCGTTAGAACATCAAAAACGTGGGGGTTCCCCCAAGGCTAGGTCCTCCAGTGGAGAGGTTAGAATAAGGGTACCATTTTTTTCAGTAGTCTATTGTAGTAGGGGAACCCTCCCCTACTAAAGGAAATGTAAAAGGGCACTACTCGACCTAGCACTAGCCTAAAAACATCATGAGGTTTGGGATATACAGCCACATGCTTGGGATCAGCCACCATATGCCACTGTAAAATGGGTATAGCCTGTCTTCAACGACCTAGAAGGAGTCTTACTTGGTTGACCTTGGAAGGGGAGCACAAAAAGAACCAGCAGTTAAGTTTGCGATGTCCCCCTAAACCACAACAAGCAAACATGTAAGATGCTTCCCAACAACAACCATGATTATTTATACCAACGTCAGCGCCCAAAAAACGTCGTCGAATCGATCCATCCAGCGGTTTGATCAAACCAAGGCGTCCAAGGCGAGGCGTCGGTCCCAAAAAGCCGTCGCCGGATCGATCCATGCGCTTGGCCTTGGAGCTGAGGGCCAGCGGCTGCTCGGCGCCCCGTAGGCGGTGCCAAACCCGCAGGAAGAGCAGCTCCTCAGTTTCTGCTTCTTTTTTTTCTTGTTCTTCTTCGTCTTTTTTGCTTTTGGTTGTTGTATTATTTGTTTAAATTGTTTATTTATTTATTTGTTGATTATTTACACTTCCTCAAACAATCATAGAAGTACTACACAGTTTTTTCATTCAACAAACATGGAAGTGTACAGCAAATTCCGGGTCTTACATGGCAGTGCACCTGCAAAATCTTTGTGCTAACAGAGAAGCTGCACCAAATACGATTTCGGTTCGTGCCAGGGCATCGCCTACGGGTAATCCCCGGGGAACGCTGGGGGACAGTTAAAACCGGCTTCATAAACATGGCACCTACGTGTGTTTCAGTCTGACCCCCAACCCACTCCTAACGTGGCAGCTTACACACCCTGCAGCCAGAAGTTTTTCCGTCACGGTCGCCGCCCAAGTAGAGTATTGTTGCCCAAGCCAACCCACAGCGTTGGGACAGCGCAAGCCGCACCCTGCGGCGCGCTACTGTAAAATCCGGCAACCCTCACTTTGACTGCTACAGGGGAAACATGACAAGATCCATGTTAGCTCAATCTTCAGCAAATCAGGCAATGTTCAGTGGCTTACAGAAACCAATCGGTGCAAGGGCCCGCTGCTGTTCACAGGAACTGTACACACCAAATGCCGAAGCAATGTGAAAGGGTTGGGACTCAAGACCAGGCTGCGCAACAGCCCATGAAGCTGTTGCAATTCCCCAGTCTTACAACAATGGTCCGAATAGAAAGTTGTGTGTACGTAGCATTTGCATGCGCATGAGGTTTTGTGTGTTTTGTTTCTGTGGTTTTGAAAAATACAGTATGGTTTCTGTGGTTTTGTTTCTTGTTGTGTGTTTTCCCCGTTTTTTTTCCCCCGGTGGGTGGTAGGTTTCGAGCTTGGTAGGCTTCAAGCTTGGTAGGTTTCAAAAACCGGAACACTTGTTTTGGTAGGTTTCGAGCTTGGTAGTTGTAGAAACTGGAACAGTTGTTTGTTTTGGAACGTAAGCATGGGTCGTAAAGGCGGGATCGCGTGGCTCGGCTTGTCCAAAGCTTCAAGTGAAGAGTGAGTGACACAAACACAACAAACGCAAATCAAAACAACTACTGGGATCTGCAGCGGCTCTGGCAATTGTCGTTTGGATGAAACTGCATCAAGGCAACCCATGGTCTTTCCAACCCCTCAACCCTCGTTATCTGACCGGTCGAACAAAAAGCGGCGGTTGCCCAACCTTGCAGCAAATCTAGTGCCGAACTGACAAAGCAATTACTTTGATCCAGGTTGGGATTTGTTAATTCAACCCCCAAAAAACAACAAAGCCCACGTTGAAAGGTCCCAGAAAAGCGCTCTGCAATTCTTCTCCCACACCCCAGATATGTGGGTCCTTCAAACAAGTCCTGAGGGAGCATCTGGGTACCCAGGTACCACTTCTTGGGCCACAGGCTCAGCATATCGGGTCACACAACTATCATGAATTGAAACCAGCAGCTTGTCGCCTTGGCCCACATCTGGACCTGATTCTGTTCCAAGCTGCGCCCAGCAGCGTGCGCTCTTGCTCCGCAGGGGGTGGCTTTACTGGCTCTGCCTTCCGCATGCGAAAGCGCCGGATGCCCCCAAAGTGCCGGATGCCCGGCGCCCCAAATTAAATGGCAAAGACTCCATAGCTATGGCGGGAAAAAAAGGGAAGCCCCTTTTGGAATGGTCTCATGTTTTTGTTGTTTTGTACCTTTAATACCTGGACAGGGTCAATTACTTTCGAGGACAAGCTCATGTGTTGCTTGCGCCTCTCTGAGGAACTCCACCTTTTCCTCTTCCGGCGCCATAGACCAGCCATGGAGCAGCCCAGTTTTAATAGAAACGCCAGCAACCTCGTTGCTGGCACAAACGAGAATCGCTTGCTACTTTAGTGGGAAAGTCAGTGGTAGCATCAAAACGAAAAGGAAGGGGCTTCGGCTGGAACCGTTTGTCAAGATCAACGTCTGCAAGGCAGCTTTGGCTGTCAAGAGCAGGAAACGAGCTATTTGATCCACTAACACGTGTTTTGCACTCTGCACAGCGTCCTCTGCTCTGTGAGTTGACGTTTGCTCGAGTCTGCTCGATCGCGTCTGTATTTGTTGGTGCTGGCACTTGAGCCAAATCAGCTCACACCTAACACTTCGAAGCCTCCGAAGATCGAAACTTGCTGACAGTGACAGAGGAAGCACATCCAATCCCGTCCAACCACGCAGGAATGCACACTGCAACAAATGCGAGGGCGGCTGAAACAATTGGCGGATTTGGAACCCGCTTATGGTCTGACTTACAACATTGAACACGCGGCCCTGGAGATTCATTCTCCATGAATTTCCTGGTAGTTCTCGGCTTTGACTTGCTCTTCGTAAATCTCGATGTCTTTTTCGTGAAGTCGCTTAAAACTACTAAAGCTTCTATATTTTTGTGAGATTTCAGAATTGGTACGGTTTCACGTTTTCCCCGCTCAGAATTACCCGCAAAACGCCCGCAAAAAGCCCGCAAACGCCCGCAAAACCCCGCAAACGCCCGCAAATCAGAAAAAGACGCTTTTTGGGCTTGGGGGTCGCGCAAAACTCCTAGAAACCACTTAGAACGCCCAGCACGCCCCAAACTACCAGGAAACTAAAACGCCTAGGAAAAGGCCGGAGAATGAATCTCCAGGCGGGGTCCACAACTCAACATCGTATGGCCACAGCTTTCCTGAGGAACGCGGGACTGGTGACTGCGGAAGTGGCCTCCTGAGCGCTCCCGGCTTTTTTTTTGCTTTTCGGTGCAAGCAATGGGAACATATTTGAGGTCCCTTGAAACCCTCAAGACCCCCTGTCCGAATAAGGCTTGCCATCCTCAAACAAAAGGATGGAGTACCGGAGGTTGTAGCTTCACAGACCTCGCATGATCAGGCTTTCATGAAGTGCATGCGCACAACTGCTTGCTTTGCCAACTGTGCAATGGATGAGGCTTCGCCTGCCATCGACGCAGTTGCTAAGGTGCCTCAAGCACGTGTCATCTTACAAAGGAGAACCAGGTGCCGGCACAGGCAATGGCATGTGAATTTCAAAAAGGTACCATGGTGCATATGAGGGCAAAGGCAGGAAAATGATTCAGCGTAGGTGGCGTTCAGAGGTTATGTTGATGTTGCCTAAGCTTCACGATGGTGCACGTCTGCGAGATTGATGAAGGTTGTCGCTGAATGAAAAGATCCTTTCATTCATTTCAAGACTCTTTCATTTCCATGTAAATTTCAGGGACAATTCAAACAATATCCCTTTGACAATCTTTGACAATGGATCTCCAAAGACCCTTAGGTGCTCTGGTTATGCTCTTGCAAAAGGCGTACGAGCGAGAGCACCTTTCCAGGTGTGTATCTAAGCATTTCCCATTGAATGTATGGTGTTAGCATTGCATAATATCGTATAGCCGATTAGCAGCAAGCCACTACTGTAACACATGCCAGTATATAGAGGTTGTGACCGCAAGATCAAACACATGCGTTTTGAAGATGTCTGCGGGCTAGACTGCTAGTTTTTTTGCAATTGCTTTGGCTGAACACTGGGGCAAGGTGCACCGGTACATGGTCCTTCCACACAGAATCCTCCAAGGTTTGCTTCTACCCGAAGCTTCCGTTGAAGTCGCTACCTACCTCAGTCCTGGGATCAGGAACTCATGCCTAGGCAAACTTGGCATTGAGAGTCTGAGACAGGGTTTACAGGAAGTATCAAATACCTAAAACACAAAGCTCAGAGGCTTCATTGAGAATACCTGAAATCCACCACCAAAATATATCATTGTGACTAAACATGACCTACATGGAGGGACATCCCCCTATCACCTATCCATCAACTAGAAGTGTATTAATCCGGAGCTAACATTAATGTCTTCGTAACTTGTATTTTTCCACAAGTGCCCTTTTGCGGAAGACAACCAGAATGAGCAAATGGCTCATAATTTCAACAGGGAGCCTTCTCAAACGTGGTTGGTGGACAAGAAAACCCTCACCGAACTTTGATGCACCACAGGCCGTTCCCCCCCCCCAAAAAAAAAGAAGCAAATAAAAACAACAACTACGTAACATATTGCGAAAAAAGAACACCAGAACAGATGTGTCGACTGAGGGCGCCCGCTGCGAGTGGACGGGTCCACCTCCTGATCCCTTCTTCGAGGCATTGGCTCAGCTGTCGCTCAAGGAGCCCTGGAACCTCAGCGCCTGACATTTGGGGGGAGGGGGGAGAGGAGGGTGTAACTATGCAAAAAAATGCATGAAGCTAGTTTTTTTGTTGAGAATAGCTTGTGCTGTTTTGGGGGGACGGGCGGGGAGGGGGAACTCAACAAAAAAAGATGAAGTTACCAACACCACTTGCATTTACAGCCAGGGCACGGGGAGCTTCCATTGCTGGAGGCCGGGTACCGAAACATGTGCCACTCCAACCACCCCAGAAAAAGGGCACAAAAACAAACCCACCAAGAACACCTTTCCCCACACCTTCCCCTCCCAAAAAAAGAAGAAGAGCAAAACCATCTCTCAAAAGCCGTGCACATCTCTACCAATCCAACAGATTTCACCCCCTCCTCCCCCAGAACGAAAAAGGCACCACCTACAAATCTCCACCCCCAAAGAGCACAAAGGCCAACCCCCCCCCCCCGCCCAAAAAAAAGAAGGACAAACACACACACACACACACCAAAAAAAAGAAGAGGCCCCAGATGCAAACCAAAAGTCGGCCCACTCGGCGCCTCTCTTCGGAGCTCGAGGAGCTGAAGGCGAAGGCCCAGGGCTTTGGCCTGGACCCCACGGGCTGCGTGGAGCGCGAGGAGGGCGGGGGAAGGGGGGGGGGGGCGGCGTGGACGTCGGGCGGCTCAAGAGGCGTTTTTTGTTTTTTTTGTGTTGTTGTTTTTGTGTTGTTTTTTTCAAGTTGTTTTTCGAAACTTGATGCCGAGCTCCTTTGGTACAAAGTTTTTTTTGGAGTTGGTACCCAGTTTTTATGCAAGCTGCGCCCAGCGACGGCAACAGCAACAACCCGTCCGACAGGGCACACGCATTTTCATCACCATGTCCCGAGTCCCGGGCACACGCAAAACACTCTGAGCAGTATGCTTGCCTGCGAGTGAGTCTTTTTGGAGGATGCCCTTCCCAGCGTTTTGGTCGTAACAAAATGAAATCAACAGGCTACATAAGGCTAGCAAAGAGCAACCCCCACTTGTGACACAAGTCCCAAACCACCCCCCACATGTCATACATAGGGAGGAAACCCAAGACCACCCCTTGATCAAACTGGTTCGCATGTTTCTCCTTGAATCACTATTGCACAACCTGCTCTTGGTGTCCCATAAGTGGACTGGCTGATTGTTTCTTCACAAATTTCGCCCACGGAGACAAGAAAACAGCTCCGACCTAGCTCAGCGCCGGGCGGAAATGGTCCACCCTTCGCCGTAGGCATACTGCCTCACCTCGGCCAAATGGCTTGGCATGTGGCCACCCAACCAGTCAAGGGAGCCAAGAGCCAGATCGGGCCATATCAGCCCATTCAAGCATTAAAAAGACACAGCCAGCCAGAAGCACCAGGAGAAGGGTCTACCCAAGCATCAAATGCCCATGGAGGGTCGCAAGAAGATTGCTGTTTGAGACAGGCAACGATAGGAGCTCAAAAACCAGGACAACTGCGAATTGCTAAAACTAAATGAGACCAAATGGATATGCTCTGTTTGCGGAGCTGGTACCCCTTCGCTAGAGGGACTGCAAAGGGAACCCCCCTTTGCAGGGTCCCTCATTGTGACTAGAGGCCTTGTTTTACTTGGTACCGAATTCCTCTGGTAAACACATGATTTTGGCACCGAGGTTTTATGGTAACAGTTTGTTTGGAGTTGGTAGCTACCGAGTTGTGTATGGGGGGTAAAAGTTTGTACAGGAAACTGAAAGGAAAGCCAACCATTTTGGGGGTCCACTAAAGAAAAACCCGCCCAGTTAGTTCCAGAAGAATTAAGTAGCACCCCTGATTAATCAACCCGCAAGGCATTAAGCAAGCCCCTTTTTCTAGTGTGGAGTCCTCTCTTCCGGAACTCCTGATCTCTGGGGGAGATTACTCAGGGGTCAACATTACCCTGAAAACCACTGTTGCCTTGGTGTGACTTGGGCTGGGTTCCTTGAAAAGCATTTGGCAAAATTTTGATCATGACCTGTTCCACCAGACCGAAAAGACATCGGGTACCGTTCACGTGGAGTAAAAAGCCTCCCGAGCAGAACTCGTCGCATATGAACCCGGACTCGACTGTGGAGCGGCGCCATCGATCAGACGCGGTGAATTTTTTGGAGCCTTTCTCGCCTAGGATGTCATTCTGGAAGCTATCCTTTTTGTTTGTTTGTTTCGGGGGGGGGGGGTTCGGGGGGTCGAGGGCTTGGGTGAGATTCCAATACGAAGGCAATTGATTAGTCAATTAGGTAGGGGTTGGGTTTGGATGGGGGTGGCAGCTGCTAGTTCGGGTGAGTGAATCATTGTCCGCGACGTAAAGTTGGTGTCAAGATAGGTGATAGGGGGGGGTGGGGGCACAACACTCCAAGTGTTTTTTGGGAGAACAAGAGAGCGGGGGTCCTGGTTGCTTGCTTCACTTTGTGGAAAGCTTATGTTTGCGTTAAGCAAACGTTGTCGGACTTTTTGACCACACTCACTTCGCGCTGGCAGCTTCCACTTCTGGGCATGTTCCACTGACATTGTTTTTGGTGTGTCATGATGTTTAAGGGGGGCCTATAATGTACAGTGTATGGCAGCTTGGCCGGGCTTTGCGACCCCAAAGGCCCCTTAGACCTTTTGGGTCCGTAGGTGTCACTTCCCAGACGAAATGGCTTGTCCGTTGAACCTAA